ATAAGAAGGCAGACATTAAACTATATAGGAAAACATACGCACATTATCATGTATTATGAAGAACATGGCGATATTATCATGTCTACAGAAGAACTAATACACCATCTTTTACACGGAAGAACAAATGTAATACATAACAAAAAATAGGGGCGGGGATTAATCATGTATTCAGAGAAGGGACTTATCATGTTTATAGAAGAGCAAGGAAAAGCCATGTAAGGAGATTAGGGGCAAGGACATACCATTTATACAGAAAAGGGACATATTATGTTTATAAAAGAACATGGACATGTCACGTAAAAAGAACGGTTGCAAGGACATACCATTTATATAGAAAAGGGACATGTTATGTTAATAAAAAAACAAGAACATGTCATGTAAAAAAAAGAACAGTTGCAAAGACATAGCATTTATTTAGAAAAGAGGCATGTTGTGTAAATCGAAGAACATGGACATGTCATGTAAAAAGAACAGGTATTTATAAATATGAAAGAAAAGCGACATACTATCATGATTAAGGTAGAAAAGACATTATGCATTCAGAAGAGCAGGGACATTTTATCATGACTGCAGAAGAACATAAACTTATCAGAATAAATTGGGACACATGAACACGTATGTATAAAAACAGGGACACATCATATATCTATTGGTCTTCTTTCAATGCGTTTTCTAAATGACAACAGAAATCGAAAATGACAACGAGAACTTTCTTCATATCCTGAATAACATTCTCAATGCCCTGTGCCAGCTACGTCAGCTCTGTTTCAGAGCTGTCTGTATTTTGTTATCTCTTAAGTTCGAATCTTCATCAAGGTTCATTTTCTTTTTACAATTGACCTTCGCTCCCAGGTCGACCCAGCTTAAAATGGAAATATCCTGGAAGGTAAAGGCGACTAGTGTGATACAGACAACATAACGCATCGAGTAACGATAAGTATATGGAATTCCAAAGAAATGTGGGTATATAGGTATATACAATATATCAGTCAAATGAGTCAAACACCACAATTACGAGTGCTAATTACGTGAAAATTGTTTATTAATAGTCGAGACAATGTGGGTACAGCATCTCTATCTACACTTTGTAGTGTTAACATCTTATTTGCCAGGCGCGCTAGCTAAGTTGGTTAAAACCAGCTGCGCCGCTACCGGGTGACAAACTCCTTGAGGTCAGAGTTCATGCTTGGTTATAGGCAGAAAAGCCATATATTTCCCAGATTTGCGGTGTCTATCATGGAATTAAGGCCCAAGGGTTACGATTTCCATATGATAGTACCGAGCCGAGCCAAAATCTGATTTATTTTAATTAATTTTTTTTTTTCCTTTAAAAGCCTATCTTGATCTGTGTATTCCAATGTTAAAACCTAGCCTCCATTCACCGCGACCATGAAATTGTTTTTAATATTTAGAATATATATACTCACAAAAGAATGTTGACAATGAATACGAATTATAATCCAGAAACCGTTAGAATCCACCATGTTTTGAAATTACCCACCGCACAACTGGAACTGGCCAGGGTACTTCTGCATCCCCCGTTGGAAGTTGGGCAGTCCTAAAGTTAGTGTGTTTATTATTTAGATAAATCTTTTTAAATGCCGTAATGTGCTATGATAGAAGATACAGGTATCGCATGTTTGAATGTAATAAAAGGAAGTTTTCACATAAATAATATCCTGTTCAACCATCAGGGTTAAAATTGAGATACATAGTGTCCATTGTGGTTTCAGTGTATACCATTTCTTAGTTCTGTATCAAATATCCATTTCTTTTAGTCGTTTATGTTATTTATAGTGTTTATAGTTAAATATTTATTGAATTGTATAGTTTTCTTCATTAACAGTAAAAATACTGAAGTAATTGTTGGAGCTTATGGCATCGTCAATCTGGAAATTTCAGTCTGGCAACGCCAGTCTGGCATATCATAATCTCGTCTGCATGAATCATTTGGTAAAGAAGTCTCTCAAGAAATATTTATCCTCCTTTTAGTATCAAGAAGAAACAACTCCTCTACAGAAATCGTATGGTGAAAGGCTTCATTCTGCTGGAAGTTGGGAGTTCTTCTGCAGGATCTTGAGTTTGTGAAAGGAAACTGAAGCTGCTTTAAACAGTTATAACATTAGTAGAAGCATCTGAACTGGTACTCCCTGAGGTCAACGAGTGAGCTTCTTTGTCGGTACTCCAGTTTTTCTTTTAGAGCATTAGGGAGATACTCAGCAAAACGCACAAACACTTTAACGCCATCAGCGTTCAGATTGCAAACGTACATCATGATAAATATGATTGAAATTATGGGATTCCGTGAAATGCGCACGGGAAAGTTTATAAAAGCGGTGCTGGCAGAGTTTGTAGCCACGGCTATTTTGATCATAGCTGGATGTGGGTCTTGCGTGACTATGGCAGAGGGTGAGTCGCTGAGTACCCTAACAACTTCATTAACATTCGGGATGACTGTTGCTTACATCGTGTATACATTTAATCATGTGAGCGGCGCCCACATTAATCCTGTTGTCACGCTCGGGTTTCTGGTTACAGGCCAGACTACAGTGGTTAGGGTAAGTTGACCTTAAAATATGTGAACGTTTGGGTCTTCTCTAATGTTTTTTACTTGTTTACTTCTTCTTATTCTGTTTCTTATTATGTATACCCGTCTGTTTTTCTTCATTCAATCGTTGAATATATTTTTTTTTAAACAAGAATAGACTCACTGCATTCCTAAATATCATGTCATTTGAGGCGACTAACTGGGGGTTTCATTCAAAGCCGGAGTGCATCTGCATGAGAGGCAATGATCCAGTAGTCTGCTTACAAATAGGCCAAATCTATCCATCCGGAGGTGGACGAACAACCAGAACTTTTCGCTAGAGTCTAGAGCCGGTGAACGCGCAAAAAAAAAAAAAAAGAAGAAGAAGAAACACACTCTCAATTTTTCAGAAACCAGCGAGGTGGGTAAAGGCGGTGGGGGGGGGGGGGATAATATCCAGGCAACCCGGCGTGGGTACAAGAGCCCATTTTGAAGTGGGGAAATAATGGGGCTGGGCGGGCGAGGTTGGGGTTAAACTAACTGATCCCCTTTCAAGGTGTCGTGAAAAGTGACAGATCAGGGATGTTCCCTTCCAAGTAGGGTGACATCAACCGGGGACCAACAGTCTGTAAACAAATAAGCCAGATCTGTGAATGCACACAAAACTCAAGTTCTGGAACAACATCTACGTCTAAAAAACACAACCAAAACTTTCCTTAGGAGTTTACCTCGGTGAACTCAAGAAGGAGACGAATATCCAGGCAGACCTGCAAATATTTGAAGTCACCAACTGGAAAGAGAAGGCTAATCACAGAGATGATGAAAGGAGATGATATCTGCAGCAGTGAACCTCAAGGGTCGGAATGCTAAAAAAACAAAACGCACACACAAACGAAGACCTTTACTGCAAGACCTTTACTGGAATTGTACACCTGCGGAGATGCAGGTCTGGATTCAACGCAGCATATACGGATTAGGAATTGGGCATAGGGTGATGTACACTGCAGGATTTCAAATATTTTATTACCACAGAATTCATTTAAATATCGTTTTGTTCAATATGGTCGGGGTCGGTTTAAGTGTAAGTTAGTGAAATACCTGGTGTACGAATTATATGTGTGTGTATAGTAACCAACTTATCGTGCCTGACTACTTCCATCAACGACAAACAGCTTTTCTGGTGGCGGTTGTTGGTGTTGGCGCCTCGAGCAACTGAAATACGCATTTATTGCGTGCACATATTTCTTGATTGTTCCGGAACTGGTTGTTTATTTACCAGTTTTTCATATGCAATAGTGAGGGACATTTCAATTGATTCGCACTAGCACAGGAACGGAGCAAGTATGGGGAAACCCGATTGCGATGATGTAGAAACCTCGACTAACTAAATAACTCTCAATTACATATCCAGATGGAAAGATCTATCTGCTGTCTCGTTAAAACTTGTGTGTATCTGTTTGTCCGCCTGTATATCCGATCTTTCGTGTGAATATCTGGTTGTTTTCCTTCCTGTCATATACCCCGTCCGTATACCTGTCTGTCCGTCTTATTACCTGTCTGTTTCTACATCTATCAGTCCGTCAGAGCATACATCTATATGTCTGCTTTCCTGTCTGTCGTCCGTCTCGACTGTGTATCGTCCCCTTGCGTATCAGTCCGACTGTTCCTACAGTTAAACTATTTCTCTACCAATGGAAATATGACGAGGAGCTGCTGGCCGAACCGTTAGGAACTCGGGGCCCTCCTACGGGACTTAAATGTTGATATCCTTCGTAATTTCGTTAACTCTTGTCTATTGGGGGTGGGGGTGCAATTCTAAACAGAACAGTCCGTGGCGACAGCACTACCCTTGCGGCATTAAAACCTCAGACTGAAAGACCTCCGGCCTACACCGCAAAAACTGGTCAACACAGACAGTAATCAGCATTGGAAAAGGGTAGGGGGGGGGGGTTGATGGCAATACCTACTGTGGCATTATAATTTCTTCTATCCACACCAACAGACCATCGCCTACACTGTAGCTCAGTGCGGTGGCGCTATCGCCGGTTCAGCCGTCATCTGGTACTTGGTGCCACCTGCTTGGAGAGGAAACCTAGGAAGCACCGTGTTTGCTGAAGGAGTAACACTCGGACAAGTAAGTGGTCGCATTCATATGTGTCCGGAATTTGAAGCTGAATATAACTTGTAAAATTGTGTACACGCTGACGAGTGATGCCCTAGCCTTACAAATATTGTAAAGGGAGTCTCCGTAGCCTAGAGGCTGAACGCTTCCCTGTCGGTCAGAAGGTCGTTGATTCGGATGTGCATTAGGTTGACCCAGTATGTGCCCTGCCAACTGGTGTAGGAGCTCATGCGTCTCCGCAGATCACGATCCCTGGTTGTCTGGAACAGCTCTCTTGATGATATCCCTCCATACCATCGATTCATCCCATCCAGCATCATCTCTCTTGGTCTGCCTCTACCCCCTTTCCCACTGATCTTTCCAGTTGTCACGATGTTCTCCAATGTCCCTTTTCTCATTATGTGGCCAATGATCAGTGTTTGTCTCTTTCTTATTGTTGTATATAGAGATCTGCTTAACATTAGCTTCTTTCAAGCAATTGTTGTTAGTTACTCTGACCGTCCAAGTAAAAATATGTACCGCGAGAGATATTTCATTGTGTAACCTCTCTGAGGCAATAAACAGATATGAGTCGCAGACTTCATCTTATTCTTAGCTTTTACCTGCAGTAAACTCTGGCAAATAGTTCTGGTTGTTAGCCCACTTCTAGACTTTTGCCTTGTTCTATAACTCTAGTTTTGCGTTCACATTCATTTTGTAGATCTGAATTATGTGTATGTAGACTATTGGTTACTGGCCTCTCAAGCAAATGCACCGCGAAGGAAGCACTCCTTGAAAAATATGCCGGTTAGGAATGCAACTAGAACTCACAATGGGGGTGTCAAGAATGATTTTACAACTACTGAGTAAGAAAGTTATAGCTTTTGACCTTAACTTTTAAGGTAACATGCAACTGATATGATCTACTTTTATGAGCTCCTAGTGACCCACCTGGCGGCTACAGATTTTCTTATTTAAACTTTTTCTGTTCACTAATACTATTTCTTAACTCCTCAGATCCTAACATATATTAGTTACAATAACACCTTTATGGTACTGAAAGAGTTACTAGCTACAGAAACATTCTTAGAGTTTAGTGAATTTACCATAGATCAAATTTCGACATTTTTAACAGATCTGAATAGTCGAGGAAAACTGACCGTAAACTGAATCAACCGAAATCCGTTGGCCATGTTAAACAGCGTTTTATCTCGGTGATACTTTGGACTTGAAATGCTCATGGTTTAAGACCCACCCACACTGGACTATATATTACTTCATAACCGTTTTGTAATGCCCTAGTATAACTGTCTGTAACAGTATATTATTGTATATAACAATATACAGATAAAGAAATTATGAGAGGCATTGTCAATGCGTCAGCACCGTTCAGAAGCTTGGACAAAATATGGATCTCTAAACTATATAGTTTTAAAACCAAGTTACGTATTTTTAATTCTAATGTTTTTCAAATTTAGCATATGCAAGTCAAAGTTGGAGAACCGCTTAAGACATCGAACGAAATTTAAATGTATTCGAACACAAATATGTCTGAAGAAAATGATAAAAATAATATGAGATGATTTCACAATGGGTTGGGGGGGGGGGGGGGAGAAGTATCTGTGCAACCTCCAGTATGAGCTGTAATAAGTCACTTTAACCTGTTTAGTCATAAGACAGAAAACGACGTTACACTGGACACATCCTGAGAATCAACCAGCAAAGAATTACCAAACAGGCATTAAAATGGGAAGTAAATAGGGCAAGGAGGCATGGACGCCCAAAAGAAACCCTTAGACTAACGTTGACGAGAGAGGCTTTCTGCACTGGATCCTACCTATGAAATTGAACCGATTCCATAGGATACAAGGAAATTGAGGAATAGACAGCTAGCCCTATGTTACATATCATGGCACAACATGATAATGAATGAATGAATATAATTGTACCATATCGCTAAAGACAATTGAACGCGGTTCCCGGGATATGTACCTGTGTGATTCTCATCCTTGCGATGTTAAAACTACAGACGGCAGTTCTGGATGGGGAAGCTAAAACTCGACTCACACGTCGCAGCAGAAAGACGACTACTGTAATGCGTGGTTCTTGGAAGTTCTAATTGTATGTTTCACTACACGTGTGTACGTTTCGTCCGCGTCTGTAGCTTAGGCGTTGCGATCGCGCTTCGTAATGCCGGGGTGCTAGGTTCGATCCCAGCTGCAGACGATTTGTCTTGCGTTGGTTTCAACAGTGGTACCGAAAGCTGTCGTCCAGAAGTAATGACAAACTATTGAACGTAAAATATACCTAGAAAACCCACAACAGCCAAATAATGCTGGGCTTGGTTCAGCATCGTCCTTCAAGGATACGCAACTAAACTAACCCATGTGTTTCAGTTGATATATTTCAGTGTTCCAGTCATTTTTAAGTCGGCAGTGACGAGGGGATCTAGGCCGATGCTCGACGCTTAAACAGGCATATAATAAGACTGCTACTGATATCACTGATATTGGAACTCTGCGCTAGCTGCTGAAGATGGGGACGGGGTGCTTATGGGAATGCCCCAAATGCCGTGATGTCGGTTCTTGAATCAACTCAACTCAGCTTAAGTCGGCCGAGTGGCTTAGATATATGATGCTCGTTCGTGTCTCGAGAAGACGGATTTCGATTCACACATTTGGAATCTTGCCGGAATGTTATACATGGGACAAAAGGTTTAACTTGTGAAGGATTCCTGTCCATGTGTGGGTTTCAGGGCCCATTTTTTAGGGATTAAAGAGCAGAACCACTGTGAACGAACGAACAAATGAATGAACCAACACATTTTTTTCAAAAGGTCACAAAATTGGGCACGCATGCACGTCTTACAGACTGAACAAGCGTGTTGACAAAGGCGAATAATTAAGGACTTGTTGAAATCAAATGTGTTTGGCTAAAAAGTGCAGATGTCTTAGCCTCCCAGTAATCCACACGTACTAACCGCCTTGGTAATGCAGACTAACAGACCGGCTCGCTAGCGTAGTTGGTTAGACCTGACTTCGCGACGACCACGTGACGAACTCCTTGTGGTCCGGGTTCACGCCCGGTGTAGGCAGAAAAGCCATATTTCTTCTAGATTTGCGGTATCTGTCATGGAATCAAGACCGAAGGGTTACGATTTACATGGTACCAAGCCAAAGGGATTCTGGATATTTAAAAAAAAAAAAAAATTTAAACAAAGAAACAGAAGAAGGATTTATCAACAACAACAAAACAAAAGAAAACAAAACTGAGAAAGAAAACAAAATACTAGAATAAGTTATGAATGTGGACTGAGGGTGACTCTTTACAGTCAAAATCACTCAGAATTTTACGTTATCGGATTTGACAGGGATTCGTTATAGAAGCCACGAGTACGTTTTTCCTCATGTTGGCGGTACTGGCAAGCGCAGACAAGTACCGAACTGACCACGGGGGATCAACGTCTCTCACTATAGGACTTGTCGTCTTTATGCAGAGTGCCTGGGCGGTATGTAGTATACCAAGTGTTTGTGTGTTTTCCTGAGTTAGTTATTTAGAACACAAAACTAACAAATATGTCAGAGACAAAATAAATAGATTTGCAGGACATCAGAAGCTTCTTTTGGCAGTGGTGAAACGTCGCAGGTATAGCTTAGTTCGGGTACGTGGTGAGACATGATTCGGTTGCAAAGTCAAAATCAACGAACGCTGGAGAAAAAAGGGAAGGTGGAGGGGGTAGTCGAAGAAAAGGAGGGCAAAGAAGAAACTGCAATGACATCATCAATAAATTTACAGGACTAAGTTATCATACACTTATTTATCAAGTGGAAGACATAGAAATATGGTGAGTTTAGTTTTCTACTGCTTCTATCGATACACCTCCAGGACGCTAACGGGTCAAGGGTTCTGTTATGTTATCATGTTTACATTTGATAACAAACAAATCAATAAATGTTTTTTTTTCTTTTCATTGTCACTACTGGCTGCAGCCTATAGGTTTAACCGCCCTGATTATAAAAGATCAATCCAAATAGAAACTCCCTCCAGGGCAACTCCCTGGCCAGTCAGTCATAAGCATGTCCGTTGCAGAACCTTGCTCCTATAACAGCCCTCAGGTAAACTTCTCATCACAAGTACGATGTCCCGCATCCGATACACCCATCTGGAGATCATCTGCCACATCCTGCACCCATCTTCTCTTTGGCCTTCCTCTTCCTCTCTTCCCAGGCATATACCCCTCCATTATTGTTCTCTCCAAACTTTCGTGACGTTTCAAGTGACCAAAATATTTAAATTGTCTGTGTTTTATCGTCTTTAATAACCAACTTTCTTTAATATTCAGTTATTGAAGTTTGGATGCGTTTGTTCTTTTCTTTATTTGTCATATTCTACAACATTTGCATTCAAATGCATTTATGCGCTGTTCAGCTTGTTTAGTAAGTGTCCAGGTCTTATAGGCGTATGTTGCAATGGGAAAAACGCGTGCTCTTAAAATTTCTTTTTTCTAGTTCTATTTCCCAGACACCAGGTTAAAACTCGAAAGAGGTTATACTCGTGGGACCTGGGGTAACCTGCGGCGTACGAGGGTAAGGAGAACCTTATCGAAACGAACCAATAAACTGATTATTTTCTTTTGTAGATGGGCATCTGGACAGTGGAGAAATGAGTCATGACCGGGTAACCACTAGTATCAAGTTATAAGACCAGAGACAGCGCTATAATGGACACATTTTGAAAAGAGACGAACAAAGAATCTCCAAACATGCACTGTCCATTCATCCATTTATAAAAAAGAAAAAGGACCATGTGCAACGTACTGCGAGCAGTATCGGTTATAACTGTGGTCTGGTTTTTTTTTTCTTTGATCAATCATGTTTGCTAAGAAATGTTAATTGTGCCAAAACTATTGGCTTGGACCGGTACTCTAGTAACAAAGACATGAATACATTGATGGATTGGCCCCATGGGAGAAGGGGAGGGGTGGAGGAGGAGCACGGACTTGATATTTGATTTGATTCTAATGATAGTGTGGGACAGCGGGTAATCATGACTGCCTTTACTTATCGACATTACACGTGATGATGATATTTCCAGCAGAGGAAGCGCTGAGTGATTTTATTATTATTTGAAGAAAAAGGGGGCAGTATGCAGAACAAACAAACAAACAAGCATGAGAACCTATGCTCTAGAGTAGAAACTGTAAACAAATCGGAGGTACCTATACAATGGGTTTAGCGTCACAGACCAAGGTTTTTTAAAAATTTTAGTTATGAGTTATGATCTGGGTTATCTTCACGGCACTCCTAACACGTCCATAGGTGCTCAGACTTCCCCTTAAACATATACATCACGATACATTTTTATTTTTTATTCGACGATTCAGGGAAAGCCGACCGGTTGCAGCATGAACCCAGCCCGTTCACTGGGCCCAGCTGTGATGTCTGGAACCTGGGCCAATCACTGGGTACAGTATCAGTTTCATAACTGTTGTTACATTAGCAACTCATATAAAGGTTTAGAGGTTTGAACAATATATCAACATCATGACACACGGGTGGTTACCCAAAAGTGCTTCTTTCTTATTCTAACTCAAGTTTGAGTCCGAAGAAGCTCAGCACAGTGCACAAGCACTGTAGCACCGGCGAGGATCCTGAATTACTTTTAGTAGATTCTAAACTCCAAATTTTGTCTGGGCGGCGTCATTAGGCTACTCTTTTCGATTTTTAACTGCCAAGGGATTTTTTACGTGCGCAGCAATGCACACGGGCGTCCGATCACACTACCCAGAGATCAGGGGGAATTACTAGAAGTCAAAGGCGGACACCATGTCTCGAGAGCACGCAGCTTCCTAACTCATAATAATAGCTTTATAACCATCACGTTCCGGTAATCTGGTCATCTTAGTTTCGGCTTTATAGCAAACAGGTCACTCCCCATACTTGCTCCGCCCCTGTGCCAACGAAAAACACACAGATTGTCCTTCACAGTCCCTTGTGGAAAAAATTGGCACAGACTGCGGTCTCAGCATGTCCACCAGCGTACACAACGTATTAAAAAATAATCAGGCAAATAGTTGCCGTCTCCACAGTGAAGGTTGGCTGCGATGGATCTCCAACACTCCATTCTCCTATCCTGGTTGTACACTCTCTCAGACTGCTGCCCGTTCATCTCTTGATGTTATCCTCACACTTGTATCGTTGCCACCGCTTGCTCTCTTGCCTTCGACCTGTCCCTCCAGTACGGTATTTAAAAGCGTTTCGAAGCCTGGATGTTTTCGTATTTTTACGTTCTTTGGCGGTACGCCCCCCCCCCCCTCCTCCCACAACTCGATATGAATATCATCATCAACTCCCGTGTCTCTTGTGTGTGTGTGCCAGGGAACGTCTCTTTAGCTTTCATTCTCAAACTGAACATCATCATCAATCAGCAGGTCCTTCACAGAACGTCGCTCTCGTCACGGCACGCCTGAAAGTCTCTCTTTCTTTAGCTAGTTTATATTCTTTTATAGCTAACACATCATCAATGTCTTGTATCCATCATCCTCATCATAAAGAACTTCTGTATTAAGCGTTGCGGGGAGGAATAATTTACGATCCAGTGAACGCTAGTTGGCACTGGCTACTGTCATGCGGTGAAATCGTGAAGTTCTTAAATGTTATCCACCCATTTTTTCGCGGCCGTCCTCTTGCTCTTGTAGCTAATCATCCTAGATGAAGTGCATGTGGTGGTATTTGAACGCATGTGCCGTATATCAATACACTGACGAAATGTCTTGTGTTCTAGGTATACTGGGCTGCTCCTACTTTTGGCTCCATCCTTGGCTCTTTGTTTTACCATCATGTCTTTGCTGAATCGCCACCAGAGGTCGCCACAAGCATTCAGATGACATCTTCAGTTGACCTTCCACATAGAGATACAGAGAAACGGCAACAACCGACGGAAAAAACGCCAGTTATGGACAAAAAAAGCAGCAAAAGATATCTTAAACAGGGGTTTGGAAACCCTGCTCTCGACATGGGTTCTGCATGAAATAAATCGCTCCAAATATACATTGTTCTTCTGTTCTCTATCGGGATGGAGTGGATTAGATTCAGGGCTTTTCAACTAAGTTTACTCGGGGGCGAAAGTTTATGAAAATGGGGATCGCCACAGGCCAGAAACCCGAGCTCCAGCCTGCAGCCGTCAGTTGAATAGCCCTGATTTAGACGTACGACATCAGTCTCTAACATTGACAGTGAAAAAAATCATATTATATATATCAATCTTATGATTGTCTCTGTTGTGACGGAATGACTTAGAGATACCAAACCCGCCTGCAATATCGGCAGTGCAAATATATCTCCATGTATGTCTTGTTCACACTTACTAAACAAGCGGAACAGCGCATAAATGCATTTGAATATAAATGTTACAGACAGGTTCTAAGAATATCTTGGGTAAAGAAAAGAACAAATGCATCCATACTTCAAGAGCTGAATATTGAAGAGGGTTGGCTAGTAAAGACAATAAAACAAAGAAAATTGAAATATTTTGGTCACTTGAAACGTCATGGAAGTCTAGAGAGAACAATAATGGAGGGGTATATGCCTGGGAAGAGAGGAAGAGGAAGGCCAAGGAGAAGATGGGTGCAGGATGTGGCAGATGATCTCCAGATGGGTGTATCAGACGCAGGACATCTTGCTCAGGATAGGAAGGTTTTCCGGAGGGTTGTTATGGCAGCGAGGTTCCGCGAGGGACATGCTACTGAATGAATGAATGTCTTGTTCTATAGGGACAGAATGGCTAAGAACGTCTTCAGTAAGAGGATGAGATTATTTAAGCCTGTAAACTGTATAAGCCATACTAATTAGTTAATATTAAAATATTTTTCTCTAGTTGGATTGCTTGCCTTGCTTTTACTGGTTCCACTTTTGTAGTGTATATCTATCTACTAATGTACATTTGTATATTTCCACTTTTAGTTTGTAAATGCATATTCTATTCTCTAGCTCTTTCATAGAATTGGAAGGGGGGGGGGGGGGAAAGGGATATTCAAGGGACGACCAGGACACACGCACACACATACCAAAACGGGACTGTCAGTTGAAAACGGGATGTTTGGTCAACCTATTTCGAAGATGTTGATTGTTTTTCTGACAGTTGTTTATATTGGTTTCCTTAGCCTGGGATGGTGACGTCACGTCAAGCTGACATCATCAACCCCAAGGCCCATATTAAAGAAGGCTAAGAGATAGGAAATTCGCCTTTAACTCTATCAGACATGGTAAGATGCATGATATGGTGTTTTTTTATTAATGGGGGGGGGGGGGGGGAATATTTAACGAGATAAAGTTCCTCTTTCCGGGGTCCTTCTATTGTGAATCAGGGCATCTGGTCTTCTCTTATATAGGTCCCTAAAATGAGGAAAACGTTGACGTTGAGCTGCTAAAACTCCCTTACTGCCCCAAATCAAAAAGAGCATGTTCAGAATTCCGGCAAACAAGATTAAAAGAAGACAGTTTGGTAACAAATTGATGAAGGATTTATGAATCCTTCAGAAAGCAATGGCAAACTAATGAACGTAAAATTCTTAGTAAACCAGAAACAGCAAACAAATGATGGGGTTGGTTTGCGATATTCTGTAAAGGATATTCAACTAACAGCAGCAGTAGTAGTAGCAGCATCAGTAGTGGTAGTTGTAGTAGTAATAGCAGCGGTAGCAGTAGTAGTAGTAGAAGCACATCACCCATTCCTGATAGTTGTACGGCCAGCCAGGATGTCTGATCTCTCATTGCCTTTCACACCAGCATACAATAGATCATTTACTGTTTCTTATACGCATCCTCTGTCACACACAAACACACAACACAAAAAGCAATTTTAAATGCTTTCTTAGAAAAAAGTCATAATTTCTCTTGGAGATCATAAAGGTAAGGAAAACACATAACTAAAAACAATCTGACCAATGAGTCAAAAAACACAAAGAGCCGAGAACCCAGAAGACAGAAAAAAAGATAAGGGTATAAATAACTGATAATATGAATGTTCATAGAGGGACACATATAAATTAATGGCAGATATACTTACTAAAATGTAAGAAATCAAATCACCTGAAATCATACAATCTGCTATAAATTAAGTGAACATGTACAATTTATCTTGACTGTGACAAATAAATAAGGGGATGATGTACAACTGAACACAGTCCATCTGCGTAGTTAGTTAGTTGCCTATCCTTTACAGGACATTGCAAAACCAACCTCAGCATTTTTTGGCTGTTGTAGTTTTTCTAGGCAAATTTACATCCAGTAGTTTGCCATTGCTTCCTGAACGGTCGGCTTCTCAATACTATTGTAAAAAACGAAGCAAGGCGCAAGGCCCGCAGCTGGGATCGACCTTGGCATTATGAAACATGTTCGCAACGCCTAAGCCACAGACACCAACAGTCCATCTACAAATATACAGAAGAGGGGTGAGAGTGGGAGCTGGATGTTAGAAATACACATGATCCCATAGGAGCTGAATGCTAGAAATACACATGATCCCATAGGAGCTGAATGCTAGAAATACACATGATCCCATAGGAGTTGAATGCTAGAAATACACATGATCCCATAGGAACTGAATGCTAGAAATACACATGATCCCATAGGAGATGAATGCTAGAAATACACATGATCCCTTAGGAGCTGAATGCTAGAAATACACATGATCCCATAGGAGCTGAATGCTAGAAATACATATGATCCTATGGGAACTGAATGCTAGAAATACACATGATCCTATAGGAGCTGAATGCTAGAAATACATATGATCCCATAGGAACTAAATGCTAGAAATACACATGATCCCATAGAAGCTGAATGCTAGAAATACACATGATCCCATAGGAGCTGAATGCTAGAAATACACATGATCCCATAGGAACTGAATGCTAGAAATACACATGATCCCATAGGAACTGAATGCTAGAAATACACATGATCCCATGGGAACTGAATGCTAGAAATACATATGATCCCATGGGAACTGAATGCTAGAAATACATATAATCCCATAGGAGCTGAATGCTAGAAATACACATGATCCCATATGAACTGAATGCTAGAAATACACATGATCCCATATGAACTGAATGCTAGAAATACACATGATCCCATAGGAACTGAATGCTAGAAATACACATGATCCCATAGGAGCTGAATGCTAGAAATACACATGATCCCATGGGAGCTGAATGCTAGAAATACATTTGATCCCATAGAAGCTGAATGTTAGAAATACACGGAGGAGCGGCTGGCCAAATGGTTAGAACGCTGGGCTCTCAAGTAGGAAACCCGGGTTCGAATCTTCGGTAAGGCTGGGGATTTTTTTCTGCCAGGGGCAAAAAAAAAAATCCTCACCTGAATAGCAGTGGCAACAGCACTAACTATACAGTCATAAATCCCCAGGCTCAAAGACCCCCCCCCCCCCCCCCCCCCCCGCCTACACCGCAAAAGTGGTAAAATAAAGGCAGTAATTGACAGTCACACAATACACAACTACATACAAGCAATCTTGAAGATGCGAATATAAATAAACTTCTTCTCCTTCTTCTTTGTTTGCGTTCACCAGCTGTAAACTCCTGCCAAAAGTTCTGGTTGCTCATCCACTTCTCAACTCTAGTCTTTTTTTTTAACACAAGTTTTGTGCGCACATCCATTTTACAGGTCTGGCTTACTTCTATGCTGACTGTTGGTTCCTCGCCTCTCAGACTGATGCACTTCAACTCCAATTGAAACATCCCTAAGACTCTTACCACATGTTTGTTACAGGGCAATGGGTCTATTCTTTTTCTCCACGTCACAATGGGACCCCGAAACCCACACAGGGAATAAATTAACTAATCTCATACCATTCTTAAGTGCTGCAAATGGTTTTGGAATTAATAAAGTATATAATTCAATCTAACAAGAGGTGTCAATGCACAAGAATATGAATCACACAACAACCCAATTCTAGCATAATAGACTGTGAGAAAAGTCAACATGAGGTCATGAGCTGTGTCAAACTCAGTGTCTTAAGTTAGACAAATGAACGCTATTCTTGACCACGCCATAGCATTGAAAACATTACTGAAATTTATTTTTTTTCAACACTGAAAAACTGCAATAGAAAATATACAATATGTCAATGTCTCGTAATGGTGTGGAAAGTAAAGATAAACCACCAAATTCATTTCTCGAGAATAGTTTCATGGGCAATCAACAAGCTAGATTTACCCTAGGAGTTACATGTGAAAATATTTAATTATCAAAAACAGAACTAGCACCATACAACATAGGTATGTGTGTTGGTAATAATATGTATGTTTGTGTATGTGTATGTATGTATGTAATGTATGTATGTAAGTTTGTGTGTACATATGTATGTATGTATATATTATGTATGTATGCATGTACATATGTATCAATATGCATGTGTGTGTGCATGTATGTGTGTATGTTTATGTATTTATATATGTATCAATATGTATGTGTGTGTGCATGTATGTGTGTGTGTGAATGTATGTACATGTGCATACTTGTGCATACATGTGTGTATGTATGCATGCATGTACGTAATGTATGCATGCATGTATGTAATGTATGTATGCATATATGTACATATGTATGTATATATGTGCGCATTTGTAATACCATGCTTTTGTGTTTGTACTAACAGTCATATTATGCACATTGCTAAACCAACCTTACATTATACATAAATTACAACAGCTGTATGAAATACCTTGGACAAAATAAGGAACTCTAAATTATATAGTTTTAAAACCAAATTATGCATTTGTAATTCCAATTTTATTTTTATTTTCACTTATACCAGTGAAAGATTGAGAATCACTATAGATTTGAATTTAAATTAAATGCATTTGTAAGCAAACGCCTGAGAAAACTGATGACCATTAAATGGGATTATTTCAACAACAAAAAAACAAAAACAAAAAAAGGTGAAGAAATAAGAGAAACAGCTGGATAACTGATTGTATGACCATCAAGCCTTTCAATTATGTTAGCAGGGATGGCCTGTTCAAGATCCCTGTTAAATATGGATGCCTACCCATACTTTTGAGCCTCCCTGAATTCTTTCACAAGAATATGAAAGGAACCATTATATATGAAGATTCATCATCTTCACCCTTTATATTTGTAATGGAGTGAAACAGGGTTGTGTTCTAGCTCCCACATTGTTTGGCATCTTGTTCACTGCAGTGCTTCAGCCTGCTTTTAAGACAGCCATTGAAAGGATATATTCCAAAAGAAGTCAAATGGCAGTCTTTTCAATCTGTCCAAGCCTTGTGCAAGGACCAAGGTGCAGGTACGATGCTTTAGGGACTTTCTATTTGCAGATGATACGGTCATCACTGTACATTTGCAGATTCTCATGAATCGCTTTGTAAATGCAAAGAAGTTGGACATCATCAGTCTCAACAACAACAACAACAACAAGTGATGGGGATGAATGTGGTAAAACCCATAAAGTGTTAGCGTTTAAGACCAAGAGCAGTTGGTTGTAGATGAGTCTAAGTACCCAGGCTTGTGAATCCCTGACAATTTTTTCCTAGATACAAAACTAAACAGATGAAAATGGCAGGTTTTAGCAATGCTTTTTAAACTCACGACAAGAGTGTGTCCAAACAAAAAAGCTTATGGACAGGACCAAAATTAAAGTTTATGAAGCTTTGAGTCCTCGGCAGGTTCCTTTACCTGGAGTCTGTATGCTCCTCATGACAAAGACTGAATACTTTCCAAATGCACTGACTTGGTATATTGTGGTGAGACTTTGTCCTTAAAGAATTATAACAAAGAGAAGATGGAAATGGCTTGGCCACGTTAAGAGAATGAATCCTGATATACCTGCCACAACAGCTCTCACATGGATATCAGAGGGAAAGAGAAAAAAGGGGCGCCCAGAAACAACATGAAGACGGACGATGGAAAATGACCTGACATGGAAAACTGCACTGAAGATTGCACAGGACATGAAAGCATGGAAAGTCCTCTCTGAAGTCTCATGTGCCACTAGGCATAAAGAGAACTCATGATAATGATGATGATGAATGTGTACTCGATAGCGCAGGAATACTAGCTATGTACTTTCAAATGAAGAAAAGATGCCTGTGTTGGTTGGGAAATTTCTCCTGCATGCAGGACAGTCGCATTCTGAAGTATCTCTTCTGTGGTGAGCTGGTGAACTTTTTACAAGATCTGCAGGAAGGCCAAGGCTTGACTGAAAGGTTAAATGCAAACATGACCTGAAAGACACTAACACTGACACTTAGAACAGATCAGCTAAAGACCAAATCCTGTGGAGGCAGATGGTGAGAGGAGGACTGTCGAAGTTTGCCAGAGGCCAAACACAGCAAACGATAGACAGGAGACATCTTAGAAAAAACTATCCTCAGTGTAATAATAGAGTATCAACAGTTTAATGTGGGTTGTGTGACAGAGAGTGCCATTTTCACATTGGACTTTACAGTCATAGCAGCCAATGCTCCCAAATCCAGTGGCTTTTGTCCCCAGGGACAGATGATTCTCTTCTTCAACTCTGGAAACTAAAAACAGTAAAATGTTAGTTGTGTATCCTTTACAGGACGTTGCAGAACCAACATCAGCATTTTTTGGCTGTTGTGGGTTTTCTAGGCAAATTTTAGTCAGCTCTCGGTGCCACTGTCAAAATCAAGGCAAGACAAACCGTCCTGGGATCGAACCTGGCACCCCAGATGCCAACATAATAGAGTATCAACATTTTAATGTGGACTATGTGACAGAGACTGCCATTCTCACACTGGATTTAACTGTGACAGCAGATACTGTTCCCAAATCCAGTGGCATTTGTCCCCAGGAACTGACAGTTGCCTACTATTACCCTAGAAACTAAAAACAGTAAATGACAGTCACATTCTCATATTTAAAAAAAAAAAAAAACATAAAACCCAGACACACAGACAAATTATCAATTAGTGAACTACCTGTTTTCTTAGGAAATTGAGCAGCAAATTAATTACTTAATATTCTGAGAAAAAAACAACACTACCTAAAACTTGCTCTTCTTCTTAAAGTTCAGAGGCTGTTAACTCAAGCGGTAAATTCTGCTGTTTCGTCACTTCTGGACTTAGTCTTGTTTCAGAACTTGAGTTTTGTGCACACATCCGTTTTATAGATCTGGCTAATTTGTAAGCAGGCTATTGGTTCCCCACCTCTAAAGCGCATGCAACATAAATCACCAAATGCTTTAATTCCTGCAACTCGATTTATACTGAATTATCGTAGCCAGGGTTTATATGTGGGGTAGTGCCAACACTAATAGCATCCTACAAAACTTAGTAGGCCTTTTTTTTGGAGACAGGTCTTATTTTCAAAAATTACGAGGATGCAAACAATAATTTTCACAATTTATCAGCTGGGGAACAATTTGTATTTTGTGTTTTCAAATACAAAAATATATATGGAGCATATAGGTGAATGGAAATTGTCTGCACCAGGTAAAACCTAACCTTATTATGTCACTGTTACCTCGTGTCCATTTGAGGCTTGGTTGACCTGAGAGTCAAGCTCAATTTTGAAAAGAAAAAAAAACACACACACACAAAAAGCAGATTTCAACCCAAGATTTCTGGGCTGGAAACAAGCATCAAGTCATTACGATTCTAGAGTTCACTTACATCACAGAAATCAATATTCTCGAATTTGATTTTATTCTAAAATCAACTATAATTATGTCAGAAATCAAACATGTATAACATATTAGAGTCAAGAAAATGCACTAAACAATAAAATATGTGATTCAAGAATTTGAATGACAATAATGAACAATCTTGGAGGGCTGAATCTGGTATGCTGAAAAACAAAAATGCTGGTACAGTAAGACCACAGGCTTTCTAGCATGTATCCAAGTCCCTTTGAGGCTCAGATTTTCTTTTCAATGATGTGGGCTTTTAGGCAAAATGTGTCTAAAATAGATGCCTGGAAATTTTTGGGAAGTAAAGGTGACAAAATAAATACTGACAACATCCCCCCACCAAATGCCAGCTGTTCATAGAATAAGGCTTAACACTGTATATGTGCTTCAGTCAAATCTGGGAACAGAAAATACACCACTCAGGCATAATCTGGGAGTCACTGGGATTCAAACAATAATTTGTAAGTAAGTCACATGCTGGGAAATAACACAGCACACAAACACACATATCTGAATTGAATGTCAAATGTCAAGTCTTTCCAAGCACGTATTTAATATTTATTTAATATTTGCATAATCTTCTTCTTTTTATTCGTGTTCACCAGCTGTAAACTCTGGCGGAAAGTTCTGGTTGTTTATCCACTTTTTGACCGCAGTCCTGTTCCAGAACCTGAGTGTTGCATGTGCATCCCTTTTTTACAGATCTGACTCAACTGTGTGCAGACTGCTAGTTCCTTGCCTCCTAGGCAGATGCACTCCAACTTCGAAGGAAGCTCCCAATTAGTTGACTCTTACGACATGATTTTGGGTAGACAAAGGGTTTATTCTTGTTTTTCCTTTAATAGGGTCCCGGAATCCACACGGGGAATTTGCATAATCATTAAACAGAATAAAACAAAGGCCCTCAACCAACCCATGCCAAGTTGTCCTATCCTATAAGCTATTATGGGCAGCTCAACTTATGTTCTGTTCAATTTGTTTGCACACCACTCTCTAACTCCTGTCTCCATCCATTCATTCCTTTCATATATGTTCTAGTTTTTGGACATTCTAATTATATTACTATCACATTTCTCTCAAAGACAATCTAGCTAACTTTCATAAAATTCAAAATACAATACCCTGGCATCACAGGAACAAACGGAAATGGGTTTCCTGATCGAAACAAAACACGATAACTCAGAAACCAGCAAATGACTGCTATAAACGACGCTGACACCTTTTGGGGAAGTGTATGAAACCTGTAAATTGTCGATATCAGAAGCATGAATTCAAATAACACCAGCATAATGGTAAGAATTAGCACAACAACTTTGATAAAAGGTGTCAGTGTTTTGTAGTTCATTTGGGCTTGAAGAATTTCATCCTCTGACAAATTCCGCTTGTCTTGTAAGTGCTCGCTGTGTAGAATCTCTCCGAGTCTCTTCCACTCTTTGAAAGTCTTCACCTCCTCGGAAATGATCAGAAGGCAGTGGATTTCAAGAAATACATGTCCGGAAATGTCAAACCCGAGCCAGCTCTTGCCAGCCTCAAGGCAAGCGGCTTTGTCGCCATGTCCAGGCTGGGTACAGATTCCCATGGTGCTTTCGATGTGCATGAAAACGGACGTGCAGAGATACCACCAGAGAGTCCCCACGACCAGTCGCATCAAATGCTGACATATTTTAGCCACATCTCGACAACAGTACACAAAGCTTGTCAGCAAAATGTAAATACCGACAAATGTAAATGTCCATCCCCAGCCTAGTTTTACAAAGTACTGGTTGAGAACATTATGTCTGTCAGCCATGAACGTTCTGGGAACCACAAATAAATCACATATGATCGAGCCGATCATGACTCCGATGAGATAGACCCCGATCTTCACCGAGGTATCAACGAGAATGATCATTCGACAGGCTTTCATTATTAGCATCATCACGAAGTTACCTATGTGTGTCGGTTCGGGTAGCTGTTTTTTACCCGCAGGTTTCTGTTGGTCGTTGACTTTTTGTCGACGCTGGGCATTTTCGAATTCACTTCGTCGTCTTGCAGCAAGACTTTGTTTAGAAGAAGTAGACGTTTGCGGTTTCGCCATGTTCATCATGGGGAAGTCACTCTCATCAACCAACATCTTTTCCCTGGGTCAGACTTTGTACCCGCACTGTAACCTGGGACCTCACCTGGTCGATTAACTCTTTTCATTTGTGTAGTTAGTACACTTGATTCCAAAGCATGGCGCACAAAATATTTTGAGGTAACAGGTTCGATTCCCGGCACGATAACTGTAGCTTTCGATTTTTATGTTGTCTAGTGTATCCTTCTATCTTTCTACTTCTTTCTGTTAGTGCCAGTCAATACATTGTTTATTATGTATATAATATTTCTACGGCCTCAGGGGTCCCTCCTCTATTACTGTGAATTTAACAGATATTGCAGTAGCGTTTAAATTTGGAAAAAAAGGTGGAGGGGGGAGGGGGTTGCAGAACGTCCTATATCATAACAGGGGATGGGGCGGGGGCAGAACGTCCTACATAGCATCACGGCGGATGGGGCTGACGCGACGTGAATGACTGTAGACCAACATACAGCGTGTGAGATGAATGACTGTAGACTTGGGAAACGAACAGGCAGACAGACTTGCTGGTTATGCACCACTTGGTGGTGAACTGATGTAGGACAGGCGAGACGTTGCGAGGGCCCTTTGGGAGCGAGCGAACAGTGCGGAGGCACAAATAAATAATTATCGTCTGAGGAGAATGGTGCTTCGGGGAGCAACCAGGGGATCTGTCTGACGGTCAACGCTCAAGGGAAAGGCGAGACGGGTGAACGGTGGTACACGACATAAAAAGCCCTTTAAAAAAAAAGTAAGTCCCGTTTTGACCGCAGGGACAAACACGGTTGGAAAACGTAAATTTTTATATGCAGTATGTTTATGTGGTTCATTAGCTAACTATGCTATATTTTTCACAGTCGAAACCTTGATGCTACGTGTGCAAAAATAAACACTCCCTCCAGCCGCGAGGTTCGATCTTAGATCCGTTGTTTTTAGGGAAAAAAAAAAAAAACACAAGTGCTGCAGAAATTCACAGGCAACTCCTTCAGGTTTATTGTCCAGATGTTAAACCGATAGTATGGTTAGGAAATGGTGTCGAATGTTTAAAGAAAGGCGAACAAATATCTATGATGAAGATCGCAGCAGTCGGTCCAGTGTGCTGACAGACGATTTGGTCTAAGAAGTAAACTAACAAATTCAGGAAAATCTTCGTTTCTAAATTTCTGCGTTGTCTGTCGAATTTTTGGAAGTTTCACATCACATTCACTGATTCACTTTGTGACAAGAAACCTTTGGATATTAAGGGGGGGGGGGGGAATGGTGTGCCATCCAAAACAAACAATGCTTGACTTCACGTCGCAGATGTAACTCCAGTAACTGTTCAACTTGCAGACATTGTTGGCCACCCGCCCTGCATCCCCGATCTGGTGCCAAGTGATGACCACCTTTCATGTACATAAAGAAGAGGCTGGCATACCAGTGGTCTGGAACTGATGAACTGCAGACCGGCTTTAATGAATGTTTCAAGACACTTGCAGCAGACTTCTACGCCACTGGAATTAAGTACCTGGTGTCACGATACAAAAAGCGTGTTTAAGTCAATAGTGACAGTGTTAAGTAATAAATTTAATGTGATGTTCACTTTTGGCTGCAATGTTTTTTTTAAAAATAAACACATGAAAATAAAAGGGGAAAAAAAGGGGGGGGGGGTGTTAATTGTATACAGACACTAAAAACTAACGCGCCTAGAACAATGAATGAGTAACGGTATCCGAGATGATTAGGCTACGAATATGACGAAACCGGAAATCATCTTCAAACACAAGAGAGTAAAGAGAGACGAGTGTTAAATTTAAATATCTTTACAGGTTTTCTGTGATCCGCATCGATTTGTTTATTTACATTTATAATATGCATTTTATAAACTATTTTATAATCTGAAATACAACTATGTCAGATGACAAGGATACCCTTGTCTTGTAGCGCTGAATTTAGGATACCATTCATCAAGTAGTTCGGGTTGAGAAAGTATAAAGTAATCGTGGCAATGCCAATTTAGTCGGTGGGCTTCGTCGATGATCGGAGGAACTTAAAAAGTAAGTTTGTAACGTTGACTGTTGATAACTTGATATTGTTATATTGTTATACATCACTATATATCCAATGACCTATGGTTATACGTGTGAATCAGTAAGATGTCATCAGGCTGATGAATGATTAGTAATAGTAATTTGCTTTTTGACTTTTGTTAACTGTTAACCCTGTGGAGACTACTGCGCCTATCTGGAGTTCAGTGCCAAGAAAACGATGCCTTCAATACTTCAATCATTAAAGAGATTCTCTTGGTTTACACACACAATATTAATTAAAAAAGAAAGCATTTAATTAACATACATAAAACTACATATTATAGGAAATTGAATGAACTAACACAATCTTTATGAATCATACTGACTGACACCTCAGTTTGCATATTCACTTTTAATTATGCATGCATTTTTTGTCTATCCTCCGAATAACGGGCACAAAAATGGCGGCCAAAAACAGGGCCTCAGTCACTTGCCAATTGCGCACTTTCCACGACTTAATTTGCGGTTTTCCGGCGACTACCGCCACCGCCAAGAGTCCCCCATGCCGCTCCCCAATTGTGGGGAAAACAAGAATAGACCCACTCCCTGCCCAAAAGCATGTTGTAATTGGGATCTTCCTTCAAAGTCGGAGTACTTCTGCCTAAGAGGCAAGGAGCCAACAGTCTGCATGCAAATAACTTAGACCTGTGAAATGGATATCTCAACATCAGTTTCTGGAACAGGACTAGAGTTCATAAGTGGACGAACAACCAGAACTTTTCCGCCAGAGTTTGCAGCCGGCTAACACAAAGAAGAAGAAGTTGCACTCCAGGTTGCAACACCATATAGGACAAATTGTCTCATTGTTTTATATATTGGACATAGAATACACCAGGGCTATTCAACTGGTGGCCCGCAGAGGCCTAGCAAGCGGTCCGCAGAGATCTAGCAAGTGGCCTGCAGATCATTGCCAGTTGTCTTTTATTAATAATCTTTATGTGCCGGAGCTCAGCCCTGTGACCCATGATGCTCCACCATTTTCATAATTTTTGCCCTCGAATCAACTTAGTTGAATAACCCTTCAATTCTAGATTATGTTTGCCAGTGTCCCTCTGCCAATTGCAGAGTCTAACATGTATTAGATAAACCAACTGTAAGCTTGTCACTTGGTCATTAAAATAGCCGGCTGATCTAATAGGCTACCACAGTGACAATACATATATTTAACTTTGAATCTCACAGTACTCGTAGCATAGTCACCATTTCCGTCTTGTCCCTGTCCGAGAACATCTTGTAAAGTGCAGCAGGAGAAGATTTAGGCCTGGGAGTTATGACCCAGGTTGGCCCACCTCTGAAGTTATCTAGGAGTTAATGGGCTGAAACTTCTGTCAATGAGGGATCTTTTACTGATGACCTGTGAATTCCTGCTGTACATGCTCCCCTTTTTTTTTCCCAGATTGCTAACCACTGAAGGATATTTCTCTTGCATGCTGAGCCGCCTGTTGTGACACTTTACAGCTAACCAAAGAGTTCCTCTGTCTTGAAGCAATATAGTGATGACTGAAGCATCTATACAAGGTCATGGGAGTGCAAAAAGGTTGCTGGCTCACACTCCGTTCTCATCGGTGTCTCACTGTCCCTCAAGAACACCACGTTTCACAAACGCTTCTGTCAGCAGAAGACTTGTTGGTAAGATCAGAATCTGGTTTTGTTTTCTGTCACAGCAGAATAAGAGATGCGATGTATGGATGGTTAAAAAGCAGCAGAATGGTGGGTGATTAGATTTATGGATGGTTGGATAGCAGCAGAATGGGTGATTGGATATATGAATGGTTGAATAGCAGCAGACTGAGTGATCAGATGTATGGATAGTTTGATGGCAGCAGAATGAGTAATCAGATGTATGGATGGTTGGATGTGTGATGGATGGTTGGATAGCAGCAGAATGGTTGGCGATTGGGTGTATGGATGGTTGGATAGTGATAGAGTGGGTGGTTGGATAGTGATAGAGTGGGTGATTGGGTGTATGGATGGTTGGATAGTGATATAATGGGTGGCTGGATTATGGATCGTTGTATAGCAGCAGATGGAGTGATTGGATGTATGAATAGGTTGATAGCTAGATGAACTAGTGGATCTACACACCTGGTCATGCCAGCTGGTAAGGTAATGAATGAGCAGACCAACTAGAAGCAGTTCACCAATGCACGTGGGAAGAAGCATGGACAGTGCAGAGGCTGTACAGATTAGGTTAGTTGATAATGACAAATCTCTGACACTAACATGATTGCGTGCCATTGGAGTAAAGCATGGTAAAGTATGTTGATGCCACCTTTGAGGCCAAGATGGAGACACTATAACCAGCATGATAGTAACAACCAATGAAGGTACCTTGAATCGACTTCTGTATTGGAGGACTGAGCAGGCATTAGAAGAGTGCCCAGTGTATAGCGACATCGATTGTGATAACATAACACAATTAGTGTAAGGTATGGCTCGGTAGGTAGTTGGATTAATTAGCGGATGAGATATATACATGAAGGGGGGGGGGTAATGTAGTCAGATGTTTCTCTGCCTTGTTAAGGGAATCGGGTAATGCTTTGCTTCTTCTTAACCTTCAGAAGTGGCTTGGAAATCGAAAAGAGTAGATTAGTAATCTATGACCTGCCCCTGTGGATTCTGGAACCTTATTTGGGTTGGGGGGGAGGAGAATAGACCCACTGCTTCCAAAACAAGCATGGACTGATTGTGGGTGTTTCCTTCAAAGTTAGTTTGCATCTGGTTGAGAGGCGAGGAACCAATAGTTTGCATACAAATAAGCTAGATCTGTAAAACAAATGTGCATGCAAAATTAAAGTTCTGGATCAGGATAAATGCCCAGAATTTTCCACTGAAGTTTACAGCCGGTGTGCATGTACATGTACTTCTCTTCCACCTTGTGCCTCAGCAAAGTGTCGGGGGGGGGGGGGGGGGGGGGAGAGAGATGTAAAATTTGTTGATGAGCTCTGTCAAGAGCACAATTAAGACTGATGTTTATTTCTGTAAGGCTGTCCTTAATGCCATTACTCCATCCTTTCCGAGGTCTTCCACTCGCTCTATACCCGTTGTAACATTTTAGTGTGGCTCGCTGTGGCAGACAGTACCAGTGCATTTTTGTTAGGTGTCCAAACCACTTTATTTGTTGTTCTTTGATGACCCGTAAGACTGGCTTTATTCCTAGCATTCGTCTGATTATTGTGATTTCGCATTCTCTACTGCTTGCTTAAGTTATTTAATATTTTGTTTGCAGCAGTAATGTATTTCCCTTTCTGACAGGGACAGGAGAGATTAAACTGGAAATGTTGTGTCTGCTAGGTTTTTTTAAACTCTTATTAATATTGCCAGTTGTATTCCCGTTAACAACTTGTGCCTTTTTTGTTTTTCATTGATCAGCGAGTACACGAGCTAGCCGAAAACAACCAGAGGAGGAGGAGCATGACTATGCAGGTTGAAGTTTGATTTATTTAGTTATGTGTGTTGGCTATTTTATTGTTGGTACGGTTTTAAAAAAAAGCTTTTGTTTCTATAATAGTTTGATTTCAAGATGTCCATTTGGTTTATTTGCTGCATCTCTACTTATTTTTAAGGTATGACAAGTTAGATATTGTGAGGGCCCTTTGATAAAGAGTAAGCTTTGCGGAGGTGCAAATACATCATTACGGTTTAAGGAGAATGGTGCTGTGAGGAGTTACCAGAGGGTCTGGCCGACGCTCAACATTCAGGGGAAGGATGAGACAGATAAACAGTCAGACGGCTACTGGTACCATCGGAATTGGAACTCTTCGCTTGCTGCTGAAGATAGGGGACAGCATTTGTGGGAGTGTCTCGAGTGCTGTGATGTCGATTCGTAATTCAACATTCAAAATTCTCAACTTTTTTTACTCTATTTCTCTGCAGCTGTTCCAATTCTCTATAGCTGTTATTAATTTTTTTTTTTTTTTTTAAATCTGTTAGCTATTCTTATTATCTGTAGCTGCTTCTGTATAATATCTCTGTCTTCTGGACTTATAACTAAAGTTTAGGTATCAGTTCTTGTTAAATCTCAGTTTTCTTTGTTGCAAATCTGTGTTCTTTTCAAGAAATTTACTATATTTTGGTGGCTTCTTGTCTTCATACATGCTACTTTGAAAACAAAATCTTTTATAAATATTCTTTACATTCTCTCTATGACTTTTTTAAAATTGCTGTAACTTTTGTGTGTACAGTTCCCCAGGTGGGTTCTGGGGCCCAATTGGTGGAAGGGGGGAACCTATTAATTGCATCCCCCTAACTAGCATGTTGTAAAGGCCACTAATTAGTGGTGTTTTTCTTTGAAGTCATCTTAAAAAAAAGTTTGTTCTGCTATTACGACTTCTTCTGCTTCTACTACCAGTATTACTGTGCTGCTGCTTCTACTACCAGTATTACTGTGCTGCTACTTTTACTACCAGTATTACTGTGCTGCTGCTTCTACTACCAGTATTACTGTGCTGCTGTTTCTACTACCAGTATTACTGTGCTGCTGCTTCTACTACCAGTATTACTGTGCTGCTGTTTCTACTACCAGTATTACTGTGCTGCTGCTTCTACTACCAGTATTACTGTGCTGCTGCTTCTACTACCAGTATTACTGTGCTGCTGTTTCTACTACCAGTATTACTGTGCTGCTGCTTCTACTACCAGTATTACTGCTGCTGCTTCTACTACCAGTATTACTGTGCTGCTGTTTCTACTACCAGTATTACTGTGCTGCTGCTTCTACTACCAGTATTACTGTGCTGCTGCTTCTACTACCAGTATTACTGTGCTGCTGTTTCTACTACCAGTATTACTGTGCTGCTGCTTCTACTACCAGTATTACTGTGCTGCTGCTTCTACTACCAGTATTACTGTGCTGCTGTTTCTACTACCAGTATTACTGTGCTGCTGCTTCTACTACCAGTATTACTGTGCTGCTGCTTCTACTACCAGTATTACTGTGCTGCTGCTTCTACTACCAGTATTACTGTGCTGCTGCTTCTACTACCAGTATTACTGTGCTGCTGTTTCTACTACCAGTATTACTGTGCTGCTGCTTCTACTACCAGTATTACTGTGCTGCTGTTTCTACTACCAGTATTACTGTGCTGCTGCTTCTACTACCAGTATTACTGTGCTGCTGTTTCCAGAAAAAAGGAATAAACTTAGCAGTATTACTGTGCTGCTGTTTCTACTAGCAGTATTACTGTGCTGCTGTTTCTACTACCAGTATTACTGTGCTGCTGCTTCTACTACCAGTATTACTGTGCTGCTGTTTCTACTACCAGTATTACTGTGCTGCTGCTTCTACTACCAGTATTACTGTGCTGCTGCTTCTACTACCAGTATTACTGTGCTGCTGTTTCTACTACCAGTATTACTGTGCTGCTGCTTCTACTACCAGTATTACTGTGCTGCTGTTTCTACTACCAGTATTACTGTGCTGCTGCTTCTACTACCAGTATTACTGTGCTGCTGTTTCCAGAAAAAAGGAATAAACTTAGCAGTATTACTGTGCTGCTGTTTCTACTAGCAGTATTACTGTGCTGCTGCTTTTACTACCAGTATTACTGTGCTGCTGTTTCTACTACCAGTATTACTGTGCTGCTGTTTCCAGAAAAAAAGGAATAAACTTAGCAGTATTACTGTGCTGCTGTTTCTACTACCAGTATTACTGTGCTGCTGTTTCTACTACCAGTATTACTGTGCTGCTGTTTCCAGAAAAAAGGAATAAACTTAGCAGTATTACTGTGCTGCTGTTTCTACTACCAGTATTACTGTGCTGCTGTTTCTACTACCAGTATTACTGTGCTACTGTTTCTACTACCAGTATTACCGTGCTGCTGTTTCCAGAAAAAAAGGAATAAACTTAGTCCACCTGTAAAAACAAAATGTGTGCAATTCACAGGGAGATTAATTGCAATGTATCTATGAGAATATTACTTGGTGGTGCCCCAGTCTGCTATCTGCACAAGGAGATTAATTGCAGCATATCTATGGGAATATTACTCTGTGGTGCCCCAGTCTCTTCCATGATGTGACTCATACCTCTTTCTGAAACCCACAAGAATGGTCTCTGTCTACACTCCCCACCGCAGGAATTGAACCCTGATAAAAGTTGAGGATTGCATTGTGAAATGATTTCATCAACCTCTAACCTGCAGGGCCATGTGAGTATGTAAAGGAAGCATTCATTTGAAATGTTCTTTTGCCATCATGCGTACTTTCTTTTGCTTTCAGTAGCTGAGTCTTGACATTTTAAAATCTGGAGACGAAAGCAACATTTTTTTCCTCAGTGTTTGAAAAGGCTGAAAACTGCTGCTTCTGCTCCTACTACTGCTGATACTACTACTTTTGCTATTGCTGCCGCTACTACTTCTGCTGCTGCTGCTACTACTTTTGCTGCTGCTCTTGCTGCTACTACTACAGCAACAGTAGCAATAACTTTGTTAGTTACGTGTGTTCTGTTATCAGGTTTGCTAAAAAAGACATGGAAAATCTTCAGCCTTTCACCTCTGTACAAGTTTAAGCCTAGCAAAGTCTGTCTGACCAAGTATGAGCGTTCACTGGATGTTGCCTTCTCTCAGGTGAGCTGATTGTTAAACATGTGCTGTCAAACATTTGTGTTCCCCCGTGTGGGTTTTAGGCCTCACTGTGAGGAAAACAAGAATAGACCCACTCTCCCCAACAAGTATGTTGTAAGAGTGGACTAAGTGGGGGCTTCTTTCGAATCGGAGTGCATCTGCCTGAGACGCAAGGAACCAACAGTCTGCATTCAAATAAGCAAAATCTGTAAAATGGATGCACACACAAGACTCAGGAACAAAGCTACAGTCTAGAAAAGGACGAAAAAAGTTTTTTTTAATTATTATTATTGGGGTTTACATCGGATGAACACAAATATTTGGATGAGTGCTGTGAAACATGTATCAGTCCCAGAACTGTCAAACTTGTATGAGTGTTTGTGCTGTCAAACATGTGTTAGTATTTGTGCTATCAAACATTTTTATTGTTGGCACCTTTTCATTAAATATTATATGTGCGCCAGTGAGTGTTCAGCTGGTTCTCTTTTCTCTATCAACTAGGTCTCTTGTGCAACCATCACTGGTTTGAGAATTGGTGACATTCTGGGGGAGGGGGGGGGGGTGGGGTTATTGAGTCAAGTCACTAGGTAAGGCCGCACTGATAACGATGAAGAGTGAACGCACAACGCAACTAACACACACAGTACCGGCTGCTGACAGTGTGGAAAATAGAACGAGCTGGCCACTCACAATGTGGAGTATAGAATGCCTATAGCTTTGAAAATAACAAAATGTGACTCCCCTAGAACATAGGACATCCTGTGGGAAATTTCACGCCTGACGAGATCAGATGATTTTGGTGTAGATACCAAAAACTTATTGTGAATGTAACATTACTAGTGGTGATGATGGAGTAATGTATACTCTTAAAGATCGTTGGGAAATTATTAAGCAGTCACCCAATGACATAACAACAAGATTTGGTACCACAATTAGAATCAAAGCTTCCTAAGAAGTGGGTGAGTGTGGTTTTTCAAAAATATTGACTGATTGAAGATAGTAAGCTTTATGATGTTATCACAGTCAATATCCTGGTCATTAGGTATTGCTACAGTATGTTCACTTGTGCGATGTAGCAGCCAACTCAAAGTGCCTCTACTGACAGTTCCCTTGAGAAGTTGATTATATAAAACTTCTCCTGCTTTACCTCAAAGGCACTATAGACATTTTTACTAACTGTAATTAGAATCATTTCCTCACTAGAGCTGTTACAGAATTTGTGCTTTCTTGCTGAGATTTAATGCAGTAGATGGTTGTCTGTTTGTAAATTTTAAGAGAGTACATGACTTTGGAAAAGACTGTCATGTTCATGTTGACTTTACAGGTGAAAACTCAGGGATGGAGTACAGAAACTTTTGGAAATGAGAAGACCTTTTTCAGCCTTTACGAGGGACTTAATTTTAACCACAGTAAGTTGTTATGTATTTGTACATCTTTTAGTTACTGGCGTTTGTACTACCATTTATGAGTTTTTGTTCATTTTCCTGTCTTTTTTTCCTGTTTCTGCTTCTTCTCATTGGGAACTGCCATGATGTAGACACTCATCTTCGGATCCAAAGGTTGTGAATTCCATCCTGATGGTCTGCACATTTTCAATGACCTTGGCTTCAAGGTTGGCCCAGCCTTTAATGGGTACCAGGTAAAGTCCTGGGAAATGAAGACAACTGGCGTGCTGCTGACCACATCACCTACTGAATGCTATTTGATCTATAAAATATAGTTCTAGCCCTGTGTGCCCAATACGCCTGAAGTCAGGGAAATGGGTCCTTTACTTTTGCTCATTCACTGAGCTAGGACATTAAGTTTGGGGGATGTTGCTGAATTAGAAAGTTCATTGATCTTCTTCTGCCCTTTGACACCCCACTGAAGCTTCTCCATATGTGCCAATTTGTCCTAATCTTTGCCATCACGTGTCACTCAGCCTCATGTACTTCCCATCTGTTTTTAACCGGAATTATTAATCTCCTCTCCATGTGTTATTTGGGAGGTCATTAAGACTGCCGCCCTATGTGGGTTCTGGGGCCCCATTGGAGGGTGGGGAAAATAGGCCCACAGCCCCATACACACACACACAAACACAGAGAGAAAAAAAACTAAGTAGTGGCACTTCCTTCGAAGTTAGAGTGCATCTGCCTAAGAAACAAGGAACCAGTAGTCTGCCTACATATAATCCAGATTTGTAAAACTTATGTGCATGCAACGCTTAAGTTCTGGAATAAGCCCAGAAGTGGACGAACAACCAGAACTTTTTCCAGAGTTTATAGCTTATGAACATGAAGAAGAAGGTTAAGACTAGCCACATGTTGATGGGATACATGTCTGTAGAATCAGAAATTTGGCCATATTGTCAAGTGTGCTAGAATCAGAAACATTCCCAGATGAACAGTTAGAGGCATTTGAGGTACTGGGTTAAAGTGGAGCTTTGTACTAGAGCTAAACAAATTCCAGTAAATAAAGATGTGAAGAAAAGAGGCATGCGTTGGATGGGACACACTTTGAAACAGTGTATTTTGGGGGAAATTTGCCATGGGGTCATGACCCTTTTTCGGGTATTTCCAAGACCGCAGTGTTAAACAATACACATAAATTCAATGGAGACTCTTTGAGTCCATTGAAAATGATAAACAAATTGTAATGAACTGACTAGTACTTACAGATGCCGAAAAAGATGTCCCTGTGCCTCTGTCATTTTCTTCTACATCTGTCAGTGGCAGTCAGTACATTACAGTTTGTTTATCAGACTGGAACATTTTGTGTGTGTTATTTATCAGTTGATTTGAGAACCTACATCACAGCACTTTGGGCATTCCCATAAGTGCTCCTTCCTCATCTTCAGCAGCCAGTGCAGTTCCCATACCAATGATGCCAGTAGCATTCTGATTCTACATCTATAGCGCCTTTCCTCTGAGTATCGAGTATCAGCCAGATCCCCTCATCACTCCCCTCTGCATCACTCTCACCAGACTGATTATCTGATTTCTTCTCCAAACTGTACACGTTTTCCCACAAGGCCCTAACCCCGTCTGCCTTATCATGCAAACAATTCTAAGTTGTGCAGAGCCAGCCAGTCTGTCTGTCTGTTCATTTCCCAACACACCGGTATACCAGGAGACAAATCCAGACAATGCTCCTCACCCTTGACCTCCGAAGCAAGCATGCCACCCTCACCCTACAGTATTTATCATAAAACACACAGAACACATGTGATGGCAACAGCAGGGTTAAAATCCCATGCTGTAGAAGACTTTTCTTAATGCAGGCGGCTCTTGTTAAATCACACTCGTCATTCACATGATCTGGGGCTCACATGCCTCTCCATAGCACCATCTGTAACTTGGGGGGGAGTGGTGTTGAGGTATGGTGTTTTCCTTAAGTGTTGGAGCCCCCGGTGAAGGCTGGGATTTTTTATCACGTGGACTTCTAGTAATTTTCTCTTGTCTCTGGGTAGTAAGATCGGACGCCCTTTTGTATGGTTGAGCATGTAAAAAAATCCCTTTGCAGTTGGAAATCTAAAAGAGAAGCCTAACAGTGCTGCCCGGGTAAAATATGCACTTAAAAGGCTACCCAAAAGTATTTCAGGATCCTCGCCGGTGCAACAGAGCTGGTGCACCGCGCTGAGCTGCTTCAGACTCAGGCTTGAGTTAGAAGTAGAATGGAGCACTTATGGGTTTCACCACATTGATCTGTCGAATAAACATTAATTGTGTACACTATTGTCTGGAGAGACAAAAAGGTGCCAGCTTGTTCATGTACACTATGTCTGTTTTAAATCTTTTCAGATGATGCTCAAGCTGTTCAAATTCAGGTTGTAGAGAAAAGTGATTCAGGTGAGGGGTCTAAATGTTCTTTAGCCTGTGGACCAGCATGAAAATTTCTCCCAGTTAGGTAGCAGCTGCAGTCAAAATTCAACCAAGAAATTGAGTTTATATTATTGCAGTGCTTTCTCTGTCAGAAACAACGCTCAAGCTGTTCAAATTCAGGTTGTAGGAAAACGTGATTCAGATGAGGGGTCTCAGTGTTCTTCAGCCTGCAGAGCAGCATCAGACCATGAACATTTCCTATCAGCCTGCCAGAAACGTCCTCCTAGTTTGGTAGCAACTGCAGTCAAAACTAAACTAAGAAATTAAATAAATGTTATTGCAGTGCTTTCTGTCAGAAACAATTCTCCAGTCGCATGTTTCAGATTTTCTCAGCAGAAGAAGATATGACATTAGCTAACAGTTGTAATTTTATATTTCTTTTTCTGTTGGTTCCTTGCCTCTCAGGCAGATGCACTCTGTTCTAATGAAGCTCCCAATTACTCAAATCTTACAACATGCTTATGGAAGGCAGTAGGTCTTTTTTTGTTTTCCCTACATTAGGGCCCCAGAACCCACACGGAGATCTCCTCCATGTTTTCCATAGTCTCTCCTATTTCTTTAGCCTTTTTGGTTCCAGTTTCAAAACACTGCAGTTTATCATGATCAGATTTTTGTCAGTTGTGTCCTACCCCAGGCCATTCTTAACTCTTTGAAAATAAAGTTTGTTCGTTCATTTGTTCATCTTCTCTTCACCAAGATGGCGTTAAAAACCATCGGTTACAGCAGTTGAATTGATGCTGCAAAATTTAAAAAAAAACCACATATGACTAGGATACTGATTGAGCGTCTATGTTGACAAGGAATAATAGCCATGCTGCACAACAAGCAATGGATCACAAACTGATCCTCCCTATTTCACTAAACAGCTGAAGTGAACATTGATTATGATGATGACTAAGTGGGCATCCTTGGTCATTCTTGCTCATCCTTCACGGGAAATGATGACCACTTTAGCCAGTATTCTTCCTTACCATCTGGTAATTTCCAGGGACATTCCTGTTGCAAGTTTTATAAAGCTCTCACCACCTGATTATATCATCATCAACTTCCACTTTGGCCGTCATGAGGAAGATCCGTTTGTGGCCCAGCTCTCGATGGATGATACTGGTCATTTTCATTCCATAAAGATGTACAGAGTCCTGATTGTATGCTTCAGAAAATCATCCCTATACGCTTCAGAAATTCATCGCTGTATGCTTCAGAAATTCATCCCTCTACGCTTCAGAAAATCATCCCTGTGCGCTTCAGAAAATTATCCCTATATTCTTAAGAAAATCATCCCTGTGTGTTTCAGAAAATCATCCCTATACGCTTCAGAAAATCATCCCTGTACGCTTTAGAAAATCATCCCTGTATGCTTTAGAAAATCATCCCTGTATGCTTCAGAAAATCATTCCCATATGCTTCAGAAAATCATCCCTGTATGCTTCAGAAAATCATCTCTCAATTAGCTTTGGAATCTAGATATGTAAACTTCTTCACGTTTATTGGCTGTAAGCTCAAGTGGAAAGTTCTGGTTATTTGTCCACTTCTGGACTTTGGTTTTGTTCCAGAACTTGAGTTTTATATCCACCTTAATTTGACAGATCTGGCTTATTTTTGTAACGATTGTTGGTTCCTGGCCTGTCAGGCAACTGCACTTCAACTTTCAAGGAAACACACTTGGCTAGTCTACTTCTGCGACATGTTTGTTATGCAACGGTGGATCTGTTCTTTTTTTTTCTTTCTTGATAGGGCCCCGGAATCCACACAGAGATGTAAGCCAGTGAAGCAGTATTCTAGTGTGGATGTACCCTTAAAAATAACGGTCTCCATGGCGAAGTGGTAAAGCTGTTTGGTTCGCGCTTAGAAGGCTGTGGGTTCCTTTCACGGAGCCGCCGTAAATTTTTACGGAGATCCCTGGAGACCGGAGCTCTGTGCAACGCTCTCAGCAGGCAGCCGGCTGCTCTGTAGAGAGAGACTGGGCCATATTAGATAAAACCTGGTACAATAAAGTCGATCCTCTCACCTTCACCCTTAAAAATAAACTATTGTTTCACAGGTGGACAGGGAAGCATTGTCCTGAACGCATTGTTGATTTGTGTGGATCTGGACGGTTCTCCTGTACCAGACCATCTATCCAACAGCTTCACCTACTACCCTGTGATCTTGATCTCTGGCAATAAAGCTAGGACAGACGTGCTGCTGAATTGGTTGGAGGTGAGTTGTTTTGTTTTATTGTTGAAGTTTAAATAAATAAAATTGTGTCATGTCCACAGTCGAGGTTGGCTGCATTGTATTAACTGCTGACTATGGACATAGTGATGCCCCAAATATCTCCTGCGGCGTAATTTTCACACCAATGCCCTAAAGCCACGAGAACAGTCTGTAATTAAGAATATGCTGGTTTTTGTGTGTGTGTGTTGCACTTTATAAAATATTTTATAGCTATAAAGGCGGTGAAATGCATGCCTTTGGGCATATAGTGGTAAACCTTTATTTTATAGACCAATTGCTACTTGTAGGTTAACCTTCTGCCTGCCGCCTTTACTTCCCAGGACATATTAGGCAGGGTCGACCTGGGAGCCAACACCATTGTTAAAAAAATCAGACTCAATGCAGATTTGAACCTGCAACCTTGGGACCTTGTATCATAATTAACTTTATATTATTTAAATTTTAAAATAAGGCTTTCAGGAAAGTCTTCAAATATTTATCAAATAAATGTTTAACCCTTATGTATTATCATGCCAAGAAGCAGACGGAGTTAACATAAAAAGTGGGTCAAAAAAGATTAGTGTCGATGCAGGGTTAGTTTTGATGCATGATTAATGTGAATGCGGGAATACTGTCGATGCAGGATTAGTTTCGATATAGGATTAGTTTCAATACAGGATTAGTGTCAGTGCAGGGTTATATCATTGCAGGATTAGCGAAGATGCAGGACTAGTTGCTTGATACTGGTTATGGACATGTGGTAACGCTGAAACTACATCAGCTATGCTCTCAGAACGGATAAGACCAGACTCCCCCCATTAGGACCTCATATGGACACCGGATGGAAAAAGAAGACAGGTAAAACCAAGAGACTCCGTGCGTAGAACCATCATCAGGGAAGGCTCAACCATCAGGGAAGGTTCAACCATCAGGGAAGGTTCAACCATCAGGGAAGGCTCAACCATCAGGGAAGGCTTAACCATCAGGGAAGGCTCAACCATCAGGGAAGGCTTAACCATCAGGGAAGGATCAACCATCAGGGAAGGTTCAACCATCAGGGAAGGATCAACCATCAGGGAAGGATCAACCATCAGGGAAGGATCAACCATCATCAGGGAAGGATCAACCATCAGGGAAGGATCAAGACCTAAAACAGGTGGCAGTGAACTGCCGGACATGTATAGCTATGACCTCTGCCCTATCTTTCGCCCCAGACTCAAAAGGAGAATCTTACTAACCTGTTGTAACACAGCATGGTTTCTCAATTAATGTTGTCTCACTGTTGACAACAAAAAGGCAGGAGTAATAAAGTGAAGGGGAGGCACTGAGTCAATCTGAACCTGAAATCATAATCAGAGACCGGTAGAGAGCCAGCTCATACCTAAAATATAAATATGTGTGTGTGCTTGTTTGCTGGCCTAATGTGGGAGTCTGGTCTTATCCATTCTGAGAGCATAGCGGATGTAGTTTTAGCGTTACCAAATGTCCACAACCAGTATTAAGCAACTAGTCCTGCATCTACGCTAATCCTGCATCTACACTAATCCTGCATCGATCAACGCTAATCCTGCATCGATGTCATTTCAGTGCAGTCATTTGTATTCTTTTTTACAAATCAGTAGGTGTCTAGAGCAGAGGTTCTCAAACTATTTTTCTTTGTGGCACCCTTGACGGGCTGAAAAAAATTGTGGCTCAGCTATGCTTAAAGATGTTTGAATACTTGAAGAAGAAAAGAACAGTGCAAATGTAAAGTTCATTTGTCTTGAATTCAATGAATTAAACTGTTTAGACTTGACTGCACCTTAATGAACGCATGCAGAGTATCAGTTGCACTTAGAGATAAATACAAGGACAATACCTAGCAAATTGCGGTTGGCATTTTATACAATATGAAACATTTTTGAAAAAAACTTTTTGGCAGTGGCGAGGGAAGACAGCTGAAATATCAGCTTTGAAGTATCTTCACGCCTTCTTGAATATTTTCAATTTTTACGCCGACTTTTCTTGATCATTGACGCGGCACCCAGTTTGAGAACCGCTGGTCTAAAGAATGGTATGTAGACCCAGGAGATACAAAATGTTAGAAACAGAAAAAGACAGTCCTTGATGGGTTGATACAATGGCACAGATCATAATCAGTGTTCCATATTTAAAAAAAAAAAAACTATTTCATGGAAAATTGGAGGGTAGTCGAAGAAGAAGAGGGCAAAGAAGAATCTGGAATGACAACATCAAGAGATGGACAGGACTAAGTTATCACTAACTTATTCATCAAGCAGAAGACAGAGAAAAAAGGTGGGTTTAATGTGCTAGTGCTTCCATCAATACACCTCTACAACCCTAATGAGTCAGGTGTTTTGTTATGCATGTTATAAATAAAAGATTCAGAGGACATGTATTTATAGATAAAGATAAAGTTTTTGCCACAAAGTAAGACACATGATGATGATCATAAATGTTTTGAAACAATAATAACCCTTGACCTGTTCATATTTTCAGCAACACTTTGATTGCCAAACCAGCCACGTTTGCTTCTCTAACAATGACCTGCGGTGGATGCTGGGAATGTGGAGCAGTCAGGCTGTAGGTTTGTGCCACGTTTTTATTTCTTTTACACGTAGATGTATCCAGGGACAGCTTATCACAGATATCTAAGAGATAGCAAATTTTGGCTACATTTTTAGGGAAAAGAAACTTGAACATAAATTCTTCTTCTCTTTTCACCTGCTGTTAGGTCAGGCGGAAAGTCCTGGTTGTTTATCTATTAGACTTTAACTTTGTGCCGGGGCCTGAGTTTTGCGTGTACATCCGCCTTACTGGCTTGTTTGTGTGCAGCTGGTTGTTCCTTGTCACTCGGGCGGATGCACTCCGACTTCAAAGGACGCCCCCCAATTGGTCGACTCCTACGACCTGCTTGTTTGGGGAGGCAGTGGGTCAGTTCTTGTTTTACCCACAGGGGGCGAGCGTGAATTGTATTTTGGCCTCATTATGAGAAGAAAGAAACTTGAACATGCTGTGGTGGCTGAAATCGTTTATGGGAAGAGGTATAAAGGGAAACTGTAAGTAGATATTTGTCAGCCTTTTGTCATGTCATGGAGAAGTGGCAGCATGAGAACTGATACATGCTGTTGGAGAGGCATGATCACCCATGTCAGTCAGCAAGACACTTAATGATGATGTTACACATACACACATATATATGTGTGTGTGTGTGTGTACTAGTTACTGGTATGTACTAGAGAGCCAGATTGGTTACTGGGTGTATAAATTTGTAATATTGTGAAGAGAAAAAACACAGAACATACCCCTTGAATAGCTCATTCGGGATGTGTAATGTGTTCATTCTTCTTCTTTCTCTTCTTCTTCTTCGTCTTCTTAGCGTTCACCAGCTTTAAACTTTTGGGAACATTTCTGGTTGTTTGCCCACTTCTGGACATTGGTCTTGTTCCTGAACTTGAGTTTTGTGTGCACATCTGTTTAACAGATCTGACTCATTTGTACACAGACTGTTGGTTCCTCGCTGCTCGGGCAGATGCACTCTGACTTTGAAATATCTGTAATTAGTCACCTCCTATGACATGTTTGTTGGGGGGGGGGGGGGGGGGGAGAGGAAGTAGGTTTATTCAATGTTTACCCAGAAACCACAGGGAAGTGATGTTCACGATAGAGATAGAGCTAAAACTTCTGATGTTTATAATGCAGATCGTGTTTATAATAGAGATGCTGTTCATCATAGAGATGATGTTCATTGTAGAGATGATGTTCATTATAGAGATGATGTTCATCATAGGGATGATGTCTATAAAAGATATGTTCATTATAGAGATGATGTTCATCATAGAGAGGATGTCCATAATAGATATGTTCATAATAGAGATGATGTCCATAAAAGATATGTTCCTTATAAAGGTGATGTTTTTAACTAAAACATTTAATGTTCATGATGGAGATGTCATTTTTCTAACATGTTTCTCAGCCATGAAAGCATTCCCAGTATTATTACAGTACTCCCTAGCAGACTTGTGTGATGGCATCAGTACCATTGATTGCAAATTTGAGGCTGCCTTCTGCTCAGAGCTTTGGGAAAGGTAAGTGGAGAAGGGAGTGTTTCATAGAGACAATTTGGAGAGGTGGATTCTCCCTGTGGGTTCCGGACCCTGTTGGCGGCGGGGGGATAGGCCCGGTGCCGCCCTAATAAGCATGCTGTAAAAAAGGCAAATAATTTGGGGTGTTTCCTTCAAAGTCAGAGTGCATTTGCCCCAGAGGTGATTAACTAACAATTTGCTTACAGATAAGGCAGATCTGTAAAACAGAAGTGCACACAGAAGTCTGATTATGGATTATAAATTATTATCGTCACATCACTCCAGACAGATTCATAGTTGCTCCAATCTCCTCCTCAAAAGCTCCACAAGTGTAAAACGACTGATGTCGCCTGTTCTGTGTTGGTAAATAAAACATCTTATCCCCTTAGTGAAATGTTAATTTCTTTCAGCTCCAGGCTGCATCCCATGAGAATGCAATCGTCTGTTATTGTTGTTCCATGACTGCTCATTAATTATTTACTGTCATCGCCCCTAGCAATGACCTCTGGCCCAAGAGCCAGTATCCTAAATACCTCCACTGTTTAGAACTTTTCGACATTTCCCTCCCACCCCCTCCCCCTTTCCGGATCAATTAAACATCCTCCCGACATATATAGTTAATGCTATTGGCTGGGTTGGTGCCTGCACAAATGTTTATGTCAGAATGTGAACCAATTAGATAAAAAACAATAGCATTGTTTATTGATTACTCCCTGTATTTACCTTTATAAACTTCAATTTTTTCAAAGAAAATAGACATAAATAAACGTTTATTAAATTTTATAGTGACCTTTATAAATTTTTTAAAATTTAACAGATTTTTTCCAGAATTTCTATGGGGTTTTGGCCCATTTTTGTAAGCATTACCAGATGTGAAAAGGTTTAATGCTGTATCTGTTTCAGACTTAATGGTTCAGCCTTTTCACGGGAGGCAGTGAATGAAGCAGAAGTGAACAAGTTTGTCACAGCGCTAGAGGAGCACCTGGAGTATACAATGCATATAATGTTTAGTGTAAGTATTTCATCACAACAGCCCGCAGTAATGACTTGTGATGTTAAGTCTGTTCTACTTATGCAGATACCCATGGCTGATGTATTAGCTCACCCAAGGTTTCTTTCTGTCCATAATCATGCTGGTTGACCTCTGCCTCTTCTCATAGGAACCATGCCTTACCTTTGTGATCTGGGCCACAGCAATATCTTTTTCTCTTCTTTTTCTTTTTCTTCTTCACACTTATTGGCTGTATACTCTGTGCAAAGTTCTGGTTGGTCGTCCACTTTTGTGCTTGGTCTTTTCCCACAACTTGCGTTTTTGCCTGCATATCTGCTTTAAAGGTCTGGTTTATTTTTTTTGCTTCTTCTTCGCGCTCTCCATCTGTAAGTTCTAGCACAAAGTTGTGGTTGTTCTTCTCTGGACTTTACACTTGTTCCACAACCTGAGTGTTGCGTGTAAATCATTTTACAGAGCTGACCTATTGATAGGCAGACTGTTGGTTCCGTGCCACTCAGGCATATGCACTCCAACTTCGGAGGATGCCCCCAGTTAGTCAGCTCCTACGACATGCTTGTTAGGGAGGCAGTGGGTCTGTTCTTGTTTTCAACACAATGGGGCCTCAGAACCCACACAGGGAATTTGTATGCAGACTGCTTGTTCCTAGCCTCTCAGGCAGATGTATTTCGACTTAGAAGCGAACACCACTAATTAGTTGCCTTTTATAACACAGGGGGCAGTGGTTTAATTCTCCCCCGCACCCCTCAAACGAGGTGCAGGGGAATGAATGCCCCTCAAACGGATAAAGCAGTGTAATTGCTGTCAGTGTCAGAATTCATTCTTGGTCTCTTCCAGCAGTGTTGTGAATTATCCCTGTTGCTAGATGGTTAGACATATGTTAGGAATGTCCTCACCTGTGATAATCGTGGCTAGTTTTAAGCTTAGCTCCTCACTTTAACATCTGAAGCATCATATGCCTTGCTGATAAATGAGGCTTATCCTTTTCTACCATCTCACATGATCTGTAGAATCACAGAGCACTCAAAAGACCACAAGAACTTAGGTCAAAAGAGGTGTCGCCAAACATGAACAGTAAACAGGCAGCCAAAGAGCGAATAGTAAACCAACACAGAACTGGTGTTATCAGTTGCGAAACGCTGAGGGATTTACTGAAGATGGGATCCGAGCGCTTTAGGACTTGTCTTACGTGCAGTGAGGATAATATGTTAACTAACTAACTTTCTAACAGAGTGCAGTTGATCTGAATGTGTATAGGTTGTGAAATTATTACTGTTCTTGACATCTTGAAGAAGGTAGTTTGCCATAGCTTTCATTCTTGGCAGTGACCATACTGGTCAGGTCCCTGTAGCTATTGTCACCAGGGAGTGAGTGATTCTCTCCCTAACCTTGGGGGCACTTGACACATCAACATCAACATCATCGCACACGGGTAGTAGCCCATAAGTGCTGCATTCTTCTTCTCACCCAAGTCTGAGAAGTTTCTGTAGCACCAGTGAGGATCCTGAAATACTTTGGGTAAATTTTTAACTCTAGGCTACCCTTTTCGATTTCCAACAGCCAAAGGATTTTTTACGTGCACAACAGTGCACACAGGCGTCTGATCTCACTACCCAGAGACCAGGGGGAAATACTAGAAGTCCAAGTCCAGGTGGGAAAAAAATCCCAAAAGAAAAACTCATTGAACCCAGAACCTCTAGCACTTGAGGCGGACACCATGCCTCGAGACCACGCAGCCCCCTACCCCAAATGTGTATTTAAGAAGTAAAATTATTTGTTGAGATTGTTGTTGTATTTATAAAAGATATCCATGAGTTGTACTGTATCTGTTAAGTTTGTTGTTGTATTTATAAAAGTATAATTACTGTATCTGTTAAGTTTGTTGTTGTATTTATAAAAGTATAATTACTGTATCTGTTAAGTTTGTTGTTGTATTTATAAAAGTATAATTACTGTATGTGTTGAGATTGTTGTTGCATTTATAAAAATATAATTACTGTATTTGTTAAGATTGTTGTGTTTATAAAAGTATAATTACTGTATGTGTTGAGATTGTTGTTGTATTTATAAAACTATAATTACTGTACGTGTTGAGGTTTTTGTTGAATTTATAAAACTATAATTACTGTGTGTGTTAAGATTGATGTACTTTTGTCCTTTCTCAGAAACTGTGTTTGTCAGAAGTCGGAACCTCTGTGGCTTATGTTTCCAGCCAAGGAAAGCTGAAGGTAAGTCTGCTGTGTTTTTATCATCTTCTAGTATGTTCTTTGCAAAAGTTCACTCCCATCACAGCTCACGGAGATACCCGTGGAAAATGTTATCAGCTCACCCAAGGCCTCTGTTTGCCTTCATGCTGGTTAAGCTCTGCTTCTTCTCACAGGAACTATGCCTCTGATTTCTGTTCTGAGCCACTACAGTATCTTCTTCTTCTTCTTTTTCTTTCTTCTCCTCCTCCTTCTTATTTTTCTTCTTCTTCTTATTCTTCTTCTCTTTCTTCTTAGCATTTGCCAGGTGTAAACTCTAATGGAAAGTTCTGGTTTGTCTACTTCTTGACTGCTTTTGTTCCTGAACTTGAGTTTGCATGCACATCCATTTTATAGCTCTGGCTTATTTGTATGCAAACTGTTGGTTCCTGGCCTCTCAGGCTGATTTATTCTGACTTTGGAGGAAACATTTCTAATCAGTTATCTTTTATGGAAGGGAACTGCAATGTGATAATCATTATTATCAAGTGCCTTGCTGACTGCCATGTGCTATCATTTAAATTCACATTATTGCCATCTCCAGTGGCATGTGCTAGAAATGTGGTTTAATATAGCCTAGTTAATTCAGTTTTCTACCCAGCCTTAAATGGGTACCAGATGAAGTCCTGGGAAGTAAAGGCAACGGTGTGATGTTGAAATCAGAACACTTGTCAAAGGAAAATACAAAGAATTGCGGAGAGAACAAACTAACAGTAAACATCCACAAGACCCCATCAACAGACTCAGCAGAAAGCAACATACAACAGTTTTCCATTTATGAACACGACACTGCAGGCTCAACTACCACATGCATAAAATAAAAATTGTACAGTCCACACAGTATGCCTGTCAAACAGGACCAAAATCACCTGAGCACATTCTGCAGACCTGCCCACTCTACCTGCAACTTCGAAAAGACACCTGGCCTCAAGAGAAAAGTGTGCAGAGCAAGCTATGGGGAACCAGGAAGGACCTGCTACTGACTTGCGAGTTCATAGAGGCAACCCACCTGATGGTCTGATCTGAGCATACGATACCGAACACAAAGAAGAAGAAGAAAAACTCATCACACATCGAGAGTCGAATAGTCATAAAATATGAGTCTTCCCTCATATGCCCAATGTGCCATTGGTGTGTAAATTACCTTCACTTTTGAACCAGTTTTCTAGATTTTGTTTATGAATCACTTTTATTTGATGAATTTTAAAATACAGAAGGGATAGGGAATATATATATATATATATATATATATATATATATATATATATATATATATATATATATATATATATATATATATATATATATATATATATATATATATATATATATATATATATATATATATACACACACACACACACACACACATTGTATTATTACTACTTCTGTACTTGTTGTTTTTGAAAATTAACTAACAGAAATGTAACAAACATTATTCAAACCTTTCACAATTTGTCCCTAGCTGTTTTCTAACTCAGGCGTGTTTCCAGCCCTGCACCTCATTTGTGAAATTGTCAAGGACAGATTCCAGGACATCCATTATACCCTCACCTAGCCCTGCTCGTCCCTGAGGGAATCACACCACGGATGCTCAGAGACCATCACAGCAGAGTGTTCCTCAAGTGGAGTGTACGAGTGAAGGGTAAACTGGATTAATGGACCACGCTCCTCCTACAGAAAAGCTTCTTTTCAGTGCTCCAGTCTCCGCCAGTTAACACTGACTTTGAAACTTAGTGCTTGAACTCTGTAAGCGAGGATTCCACTCTGTACATGCCAGAATGCTCAAATACTATGAATGTTCTGTTGTCGGTAAGCCTTCTTATTTTAACATTGTGTGATGGTAGTTACCAGTATGATAGAGCTGACTAGGAGTAGGTAGTTACCAGTAGGATAGAGCTGACTAGGAGTAGGTAGTTACCAGTAGGATAGAGCTGACTAGGAGTAGGTAGTTACCAGTAGGATAGAGCTGACCTGGAGTAGGTAGTTACCAGTAGGTTAGAGCTGACTAGGAGTAGGTAGTTACCAGTAGGATAGAGCTGACCTGGAGTAGGTAGTTACCAGTAGGATAGAGCTGACCTGGAGTAGGTAGTTACCAGTAGGATAGAGCTGACTAGGAGTAGGTAGTTACCAGTAGGATAGAGCTGACTGGGAGTAGGTAGTTACCTGTACGACAGAGCTACCTGGGAGTAGGTAGTTACCAGCAGGATAGGGCTGACTGGGAGTAGGTAGTTACCTGTACGACAGAGCTACCTGGGAGTAGGTAGTTACCAGCAGGATAGGGCTGACTGGGAGTAGGTAGTTACCTGTATGATAGAGTTGACTGGGAGTAGGTAGTTACCAGTATGATAGAGCTGACTGGGAGTAGGTAGTTACCTTTACGACAGAGCTGCCTGGGAGTAGGTAGTTACCTGTATGATAGAGTTGACTGGGAGTAGGTAGTTACCTGTATGATAGAGCTGACAGGGAGTAGGTAGTTACCTGTATGACAGAGCTGCCTGGGAGTAGGTAGTTACCTGTACGATAGAGCTGACTGGGAGTAGGTAGTTACCTGTATGATAGAGCTGACTAAGAGTAGACCTCAGGAAAGGATAAGAGGATGGTTGAGAGATTATGTTCAGGTAAATGTAGAAACACTTGGTGTCATCAACTAGAAGAGAAAGCCAGTCACAGAGATAAATAGACATAGTTAATACCTGCAGCAGTGAGAACAATACTTTATGGTGAAACAAACAGCTGAGCAGTTTTCTTGCCCTTGTCTGTGAAGACTGTATACCTGGTTCACTACCCAGAGACCAGTGGGGAGTAAACCACATTCAGGTGATCTGAATGAATTGCCTTCATCTGGGTTCAAACTCTACATTTGTTGTGTTAGAAGTAGATGCCATGCCTCTAAACCAGTCACAATCCCATGTGATGAGTGTGCTGGTTGCCTAGCATTGTCATGTACTCTTTTTATTAGCAAGATGTCTCTGCCCAGGTTGTCTTTTGTGGGGTCAGTTGTGGCACCAACCTGCACGCACCGATGTTTGGACCGTGGCAGGAAACTTATTAGGGGAAAAAAATGAAATTAGGTTTAAGATCGCCTGAGCTCTGAAAAAGGCTTGCATTAAATGGAATAATGTTGGTGTAGAGCAGCGGTTCTCAACCTGTAGGTCGCAACCCCTTTGTGGGTCAGATGACTTTCACAGGGGTTGCCTAAGACCATCCAAAAAGACATATTCATTGAAGTTATGAGGTAGCAACAAAAATAATGTTATAAATGGGGTTATCACCACAACATGAGGAACTGTACTGAAGGTTCGCAAGATTAGGAAGATTGAGAACCACTTGTATAGAAACTTTATTACGGAGTCTGTACTGAGTACCTTCTTCACAGGAACTGTTGTGTGGGGATCTGTTTCCCTCTCCCAGCCCAGAAATTTGTGGCAGGCTTAAGACCAATGCTGTAACTTTACAGCTGTATAGAGGTGTTTAAACATCTTCCCAACTCATAATTCATCACAGCTTATAGAGGCTTGCTTGGGTTAAGCCTGGGCTGTTAATGTTTCCTCCTGGGTTGTCAGGGTCTTTCATTATCAGCAGATTCTAATTCCCATGCCCAGAGAGTTCTTTTTATATCTTTGAGTTATAGAGGGGATTTTCCGTGACTAAATTCATTTCACGGACTATTTCATTTGGTTTGTGGGTGCAGTTTTTATGGAGTTCCCTTGAAGATTGCCGCTGACATTATGGAGTCCTTGCTTTGTCTTACACTGTGGCAGGTAATTGTTCTGCAGAAAGAGGCGAAGCCAAATTTGATTAAAACCCAGTGCAAAGGCATTGATCCTGTTGCCTCTAAACCATAGACTTTAGTTGTTTTTGAACTTCTTTATTTTATCTAACTTATTATACTTTACTGTCAATCCAGAATCTTCTAGTATTCTGTATGCTCATGTTTTCCAAGCAATTTATTTCCAGCATTTTAAAGTATGTCCATGTTTCAACTTCACTATAAATATGTACAGTTTATTTTAGTGTGTGCCATATTACTAATGTTTTATCTATTACTGTCAGATAGTAAATGTATATAATCCTGAAAAATACAAACTGGCAACACAGTGTGAGACAGACCAGCTTAATAATATTGGAGCCGGTGGCTCAGCAGTTTTGGTATCCACCTTTGGCTCAGAGGTTTAAGGGTTTACTACCAAGCTAGGGCTGAAATTGTTTTATTTCATGCATTATTATTTCTAATACATGTCTTTCTGATACTTGTATAGTGAGATCAGTTACCTAGCCTTTGTTGTTGTTGTTTTTGTTTTGTTTTTTGGTAGGTAAAGTTGTTACCTCAGCTTCGCTATGTCTAGAGAATGTGAATCTTATTCAGAATGCATGTTGATATGTGGTTTTACAGAAGAAAGCTTAATATTCCTTGGACAACCAACAAGAGTAATGCAATGTCTTGGTAGAGTAGAGTGCACATAGACAACTTATCACAAATATCATGTAATGAGAAGAGGAAAACTTGAACATGTGTGACCACTGGACAGATTTGTGGAAGGGCAGATATAGGGAATCAAAACCATCAGAAAATTCTTGATAGTTTGTTTTTTTCCCTTACGGCATGGAGGAGTGTTAGCACCCAAACTGATACATACTTTTGGAGTTTGCAGGTTGTGGAGAGGCATGGCCGTCTTCACCAGTCGGCAAGGTGCTTGGTGATGATGATGATATGGAACGCACAGAGCTCTTGGTTAGAGAAGTGCAGATCTAGATACAGTACACTTAACCTTAAAATAAGTTAGGGCCCTTTGGGAACAAGTGAGCAGTTAAAGGGTAAGGTGGAGAGGATCGACTTCATTTCACTGGGTTTTATTCTATATGGCTCGGGCTCCCTCCACAGAATGGCTAGCCGCCTGCAGAGAGCATCACAGATAGTACAAACTCCATAGCTCCGGTGTCAATCTCTCCCCAGGCAAACGAACCCACGACCTTCAGAGCACGAAGCAAATGGCTCCACCACTTCGCCACGGAGACCTCCAAGTGAACAGCATGGTAGGACAAATAGATCAACAGGGTCTGAAGAGAATGGTACACAGGGGAGTGCCCAGGGTATCTGGCCGACGTTCAACACTTGGGGGAAAGACCAGATGGCATACAATCAGACTGTTATTGATACCATTAGAATTGGAACTCTTTGCTGGCTGCTGAAGATGAGGACTGAGTGCTCATGTGACTGTCCCAAGTGCTTTGATCTCAGTTCTTAACCCCTTATCTCAGCTCTCTTAAAAAAGCACAAAAATTTGTGTTAAAGAAGCAGCCATTTTACATCAGTGATGTTTGCTCATATTCTGCTACTCATATTTTTTATTCATGATTGTATTTTTCAATGGGTGATATGATCACCATATTGTGGCAGCCTTTACTTCCCAGAGCATTAATTGGTCCTCATTTAAGGCTGTGTTGATCTAGGAGCCAAGACAGCGAAAAAATATGGCATGATGAGGAATCACACCCGAGACCTTCAGGCCAGCATGTGGAATGTTTAGTCGCTAAACCACCACAACAGCTTTCATGTGGTGTTGGTCCCATCTTTTTATAGACCAACCAACACAAGATGGGGGATGTGTTCGATATATGTCTGCAGCACTGCGAGGAAATAAAAGCTGATTTTCTGGCTACAAAATCGATAGCTACAGGAGCAGTCTTACTGGATGAAGGAGACATTCTGGAGACCATTTATAAACATATTCTGATAGAAGACACGAGGTTAGATGAAATAGGCGTAAGAGTGTGTGAACGAGGAATTAGGTGTGGATCAGGCAAGTCCCTTTGCGGGTTCTGGGGCCTGTTACAGAAAAATAGGAATAGGCCCACTGCCTACCAGAAAGCATGTAGAACTTCAGGTTCCTCGTGAGTCAGTTTCTTTCAAGACATCTTCATTACTCTTTTTTTGTCCAGGGTATTCTCATCAATTGTCTAAAAAAAAAAAACCGCATCTCCGCAATTGGGAGATTTCTTCGAAGTGGGGGTGTATCTGCCTGAGAGGCAAGGAACCAACAGTCTGCAAACAAATGAGTCAGATCTGTAAGACGAATGCATACGCAACACTCAGGTTCTGGAACTGAACTGCAGTCCAGAAGTGGATGAACAACCAGAACCAGAGTTTACAGCTGGTGAATGCTAAGAAGAAGAAGAAGAAAAAGGATGGGGCAAGGAGGAGGGACATATGAGAGGAGGAGAACAATGAGCTTGTAATCAGTGTGCTGCAGGAACTGTTAACATCTACACCTCAAACATGTGCTGCGGGAGATGGAACACTCCTGGGTATGCCCCATGTGCTTTGATGTTAATTCTTAAATCAGTAAAATATGTATATTGTTACAGTTGTTTGGTGGTTGTAGACATATGTTTGGTCATACAGTTGTGTGAATCAGCTCTTGCAGATATTATGTCAAGAGTTCCTAGAGATTTGAGGCTCCTGCAGGTGACACATCCATCCATTCTCAAATCTGGCAATGTGGACAGAGATCATATCGTTGTTGTAAGTCCCAGAAATAGTTAACTGTGAGGGAG